TGTAAAATGTATGAAAATAATTGTTTATTTTTTGTAAAGGCAGAACCACTATCAATTTTAAAATGGCAAATTGTGAAAAATATTTGTCATATATATATGAAATAGGATTAATATCCTTCTCTTATTAAGAGTTCATGTAAATGATAAGAAACTTCTTTGAAGCTCATTAGATGGATAAATATGTGACCAAACTGTTCACAATAAAAAGAATACAGAAATTAATGAGCATTTGAAGAAATACTGAGGACTTCTGGTCAAGAGGGAGGTATAGGTACACACATTTTGCTTCCTTGCAGAACCACAAAAAGAACTATAACTAAATCTCAAAACAAATAATACCCAGAACTGTCAGAAATTCAAACTGCCTGGAAGTCTGACAACCAAGAATTTAAAGAAGCCACAATCATCCAGATGGGTATGAGGGTTGGAGATGCAGAGATGGGGCAGAGAGGTGAGGAGAATGGGTGTGGCACAGAGTGACAGCTGTGATGGTGGTGGCAGAACAGATGGTCCCACATTCACCTGTGGTGGATAAAAATAGGGAGGGATACCTTGGGAGTGAGCAATCCCAGCTCTAGACCAGACCACACAGCCCAGGGTTCCAGTGCTGGGAAGATATATCCCCATAACTGCTGGCTGTTAAAACCACTGGGGTTTGGGGTAGCAGAATAAACTGAGGGATTTTCAAGAAGCTTCACTTAAAGAGCTTGCACAATCTTAAAACATACACAAACCCACCCACTCTGGGATTCAAAACCAGGGCAAGAGCTCAAAGGGTGCCAGTCACATACGGAAAGTAGGTGAGATGACTGGATATGGGGCAATTGTCGAGCAAACTCCCAGAGGCCAGGCAGTAGCACAGTCCCCTCTCTCAGTGCTCCCCCGCACAGAACCGCGAAGTGGTGAAGCGGGTTGCCCCACTCTGGCCTAACACTCTGACCTACACATTTATAGGTGCCTTTTATGGAGAGTCAAAGCAGCTCTACTCAATACACGGAAACAAACACAGGGAGGCTGCTAAATTGAGGAGGCAAATAAATATGGCCCAAATGAAAGAACAGAACAAAACCCTAGAAAAAGAACTAAATGAAATGGAGATAGCCAACCTATCAGATGCAGAGTTCAAAACACAGGTGGTCAAGATACTCAGAGAACTCACTGAGTAAGGCAACAACATAAAGGAAGAAATGAAGATTACATTAAGTGAGATAGGGAAAAATCCACAGGGAACCAACAGTGAGGGGAAGGAAGTTGGGATTCAAATAAATGATTTGGAACATAAGGAAGAAATAACCAGAACAGAAAGAAGAAACAAGAATTCAGGAAAATGGGAATGTATAAGAAGACTTTGAAATATCTCCAAATGTGCCAACATCTGAATCATAGGGCTGCCAGAAAGAGATATGAAAGAGCAAGAAATTAAAAACTTATTTGAAAAAATAATGAAAAAACTTTCCTAATTTGGTAAAGGAAATAGAAATAGACATACAAGTCCAGGAAGCACAGAGAGTCCCAAACAAGTTGGACCCAAAGAGGACCACACCAAGACACATCATAATTAAGAGCCAAAAGTTAAAGAGGGAATCTTAAAAGTAGCAAGAGAAAAGCAGAGAGTTACCTGCAAAGGCGTACCCATAAGACTGTCATCTGATTTCTCAAAAGAAAGTTTGCAGACAAGAAGGGACTGGCAAGAAGTATTCAAAGTGGTAAAAAGCAAGGACCTACAACCTAGATTACTCTATCCAGCAAAGCTATCATTTAGAATGGAAGGACAGATAAAGTGCCTCTCAGACAAGGTAAAGCTAAAGGAGTTCATCATCAACAAGCCAGTATTACATAAAATGTTAAAGGGACTTATTTAAGAAAAATAAGATAAAAACTATGAACATCAAAAAGGCAACAAATTCACAACTATCATCAGCTGAATTTTAAAAAAAAAGCAACCAACTAAGCAAACCACAACAGGAACAGAATCATAGGTTTGGAGCTTATTTGGAGGGTTATCATCTGGGAGGAAGGGGGAGAAGGGATAAAGGTGCAAGGATTAAACGGCATCACTGGTAGGTGCAAAATAGACAGGGGAATTTTAAGAATAGTATAGAACATTGAGAAGCCAAAGAACTTACATGTACAACCCATGGACATGAACTAAGGGAGGGGATCACTGGAGGGAATGTGGGTACTGGGCAGGGGATGGCAAAGGGGGGAAATTGAGACAACCATAATAATATAATAAAATATACTTTGAAAACATTGAATGTTAATGAAAAAGAGTTGTGTATTATCTGTCAAATTATAAGATTAAAAAAATAAAAATATCCAATGAGAGTTTGGTAGTAATAGTGTTACTGATCCAAAGTCTGTGTGTCTGAAGCTTCAAAAGACTAAAACTCAAAATGTCAGAGTTTGGAGTAACGAAAGGTTTATCCATCTAGAATTTGCCGATAGAGGAGATGAGAGACCTGGTGGTCTTCAAAAAGGAGTTAAAGGGAAGGAGGGATGGAAGAGGCAAGAGGTGACTGAGGACCACAGACATCCAGGCCCTAGCAGGGGTCAGAGGAAGATTGTACTTAGTCTGTTGGCCCTAGCTGATGTGAGCATGATCACAAGGTTCCTGGAAATATTTGCTAAACAGTGCATACTTCCCTTATCGCTTTGGAAGAGGAACTTTCTGGTAAGGGGTCGCTTTTGTAAAATTCAAGCCATAAACAGAATTCCTCTACTGATTATTGTGTCTATGTGCAAAAAGTTATTAACCTAAAAGCTTTAGGACCAAAGGAGGCTTGAACAAGATGGAGTGGGGGAAGCCAAACAGTTCACTGTTGTAAGAGGTCGTATCACGCAGTTTGGTACAAACTATTGTAAGAAAGTAATATTGCATTGTGTATTCTCAGCCTTAAAAATATGTACTACTTTTGACTCTGTAATCACTTTTCAGATAATGTATCTTAAAGAAATTATCCAATACAAAAAAACTTATAAAAAGTTTATCATAGAATTATATATGGCAATGAAAATTTGGCAAGTCTATGCCTAACAACAGAAAAATGGGTTTAAATGTTTGGTATAGCCACCCAATGGAATACTATGCAACCATTTAAATTGTTCTTATAAAGATTTTAAAATATTGGGAAATAATGGTTTTAAAAGATACTGTGAGGAAAGTTTTGTGATTGCCAACAATAGAAAATATGCATAGAAAAATAATAAACATACCATAAGTGTTACCTTTTCCTGAAGAGGTACTCTCTCAACACTTTAAAGGGATTATGTTATTTACCCTCACATCACACCTAGGATACTTTTTTTTTATTTGTACCACTGAACGACTGAGGAAGCTGATTCACAAAGTAACTAAGTAACTTGCCCAAGTCGCTGGGGTAACACGTGGGATAGCAGGGTTCGACGGAGGACTAGCTTCTATATCCATGCTTTTCATCACTGCACTATATGGCTTGTTTCTGTTAAAATGTAACAAAATGTTTTCACTAGTTTTATAGGTTTGGGGCTCATTGCCTCTCTATACTTTATATAACTTCCAAAGTTTTTACAATAAGCATTTATCATTCTAAATAATCTTAATAATTTTATTAAGATCCCCAAATCAACTTGATTCTGTATAGTCACACCCAGATCCTGTATCTGGGAATTATTTGCAGCCTTGGGAGCCTCTGGTTCCCATTTGGTCTTGTTCACGGGGTCTCCTGGATTTTACCTACAGTATGTCCAGATCCCCATTCTTTTTTAAAACCATTTTTTAATTGTTGTTCGAATACAGTTGTGTCTAGATTCCCATTCCTGAAGCATGCTTTTTTACCCTGCGCCTGTGTGGCATCAAACAGCTCAAGGGTGCAGTTGCCAAACTTTAAAAGGCCGCAGGGCCAGAGTCTTCTGGACCCTCCCGGGTGCCACCCCACGAGGCCCTGCAGACTCCTAGCGGCCGCGGGTTCATGCTTCTGTCGCTGGATGAGTCCCGGCACCCATCCAAGAATGCAGCCTCCTTCCTAGAGTGAGGTGCCCATGGGGAAATCCCCTGGGGCTTGCAGGCGGGAATCGGCCTCTGCCCACAGTCAGAGAGGCCGGGAGGCCGCAGGGTTTGAAATTCATGCCAGGCACCAGCTCCGGTGCCAGAGGTCTTGGAGCAGTGCCTCTTGGGTTGGGGGATGCGCATGCAGCCACAGAGGCAGCAGCCACCTGCTTGACCATCATCTATCAGACTGGGGAAGTTGCTGAAAACAGTGATTCTTTCAATCTAACTGTGCAGTCAGTGCCTGAGATAAGCGAGTGTTAATGAAAGAAGGTTTTCTGGGACAAATTTACGGCTTGTGTCCTGGGTTGAGGAGGGGGGGAATTATTGTGGGGTGAGTGTATTTTAAACACGTTTTCATCTTGAGAATAAATGATCTCTGGTGGGGAACATGAGTAGGGGGAACGGTTTGTGCAGCCGTGGGAGCCGAAGTCCCACTTTTGTGGTGTTAGGGCAAGGGATGCCTTGTGAAAGCGCGGCCCCTGGGTAACCAAGTTTTCCAGGTCCCCGGGGCTATTATTCGGCTTAAGCCTGCCTTGTTCCTGGGAGACATTCGCAAGCACGAGCGTAGCCCGGCAGCCGGTTCTTCTGCCTGGAGTAAGCTTTTCACTTCACTGGTCTGCTCAGGGAAAAATGGTGAAACCCGCAAATCTGCTTCCTTATGTGGTTAATAAAAGGGCGCAAAGAAGAGCCCAGGGAGAGAAAGAATGCTAGTGACTTGCGTAGTATTTTGACGTTTAAAAACCCGACTCTGGTGAATCACTCAATCACGTATTTCAAGTTTCAGTGTCTAATGAAGTTTGGGGGACGTAAATTACTTGCTGTTTGCAAAATCTCTGCACAGTGTGCCCCAAGTTCACGGCTCCCATGTGGAAAGCTGGGCTGAGCGGGGGTGGGGAGGGTCTCCAGTCGCAGGCGCTGCGCTCGGGGCTTCTGCCGCGTTTCCTGCCTCGGAGTTGCGGCATCCGCCCCAGCCCAGAGCAGTTTGTGCAATTTAGAAACTCGATAGGAGGCAGCAGCTGATCTCCCACCACCCTAAAAATAATCCACTCAGGCGCGCTGCGTGCTTCGGCTAGGGGAGGAAAACTCTGCCTTCGGAATAAGTGAGTCCGTCTTTTACATCAGTATCATTAACAATTTTTAAGAATAACTGTAAACTGTAGCTTTGAATCTAACGTTTCGGCAACCCAAAGGCGCCCGCGCACTCTCCAGCGCTCGTCTTCTCGGAGGCTATTTCTAGGATTAAGGGAAAGGGCCTCCGCCGGGATGAGAGGGCGTGGGGATCAGGTTTCCAGCGTTCCTAGCAAAGCTCTGGCGGCTCCTACTTAAACCAACTGGAGACAGTGCAAGGAGTCATTACTAATTTTTTTTTTTTTACTCTTAGACATTTCCCGTATTGTTCACAAAGTAGCTTTCTATCTGTTTAATTTTTGTTACTCTTTGCTTTTTAGGAGTTCTGTTTCCCGGGGTGAAATGTACGCTTAAGCCAGTGTAGGAAGCCGGTGTTTTGAAGGTAGAGCGAGTACACCAGTAGGGGTTTGAAGCAGCGTCAGATTGTCCAAGGTATTTATTTGTTGCTTTATTTGTTCAGTTTGAGATTTTAAAATATCCCATTGGAGTGTCCATCTAAGGAATCTTACCTGTTGAGTAGTTCCAGCATTTCCTTGCGTTTGCTATCAAACTCAATGGGTGTGTTCAGATCCTTAGCCAATGCTCATTTTTTCCCCCCAGTGATTTTCCTACTTGGATCTGTCGTTCATAGGCAGATAGATAAACAGACGGGCATATTTTAGTTCTCATTTTATGAACTATCGGCTGAATAACTTAAAGATGTTATTACGTTTGTTTTCATAACTGATCTCATCCTGAAAATGTCCTAGATAAGGATAAAGTCCTAAGTAAGTTCTTTAAGATGTCATGTTTCTTTCTCATAACATAATTTGATTGATCTCTGGATAACTAAAAAAATGAGTTACTGTGCCTGTAAGGATGAAAGCTTTAATGTTGCTTTTAGCATGTTTTCTTTAGGTGTTTCCAGCATGTTACATTCCCAGGGATTGCTGTTGCATTAGAACTGACACTTTCTGCTGGATAACCAGAGAAGAGTACTAGTTTCCCCTTACTTTGTGCTTGTCAACCAAATCCAATATTTTTTAACTCTGAAGGGAGTTCTTTGTGCAGCGCCTTTCATAGAATAAGAATACCCAGAGTAGTATTCTTGCCGTGAAATTATGTTTGGTCATCAAGGAGTATTTTCTTCTTGTTTTCTGCTCTGCAGACCATCCCTATAATCAAAATTTCACTTTTGATGTTTGTCTTTAAAGTGTATTCAATCAAATTCTCCAGCTGTATCCATGGTCATAAACCCTTGAACATCTTTCCGTGGGTTTATGCTCGTGAGGAAAATGTCATGTCTTCCTGTCTCGTCTCCCTTCCTGCTCCCCCTTCCTTGATGCGGGCCTCTGTCAGTGCTTGGCTGAACTGGACAGATCCAGAAGGGGCGGGGCTGAAAGATGTCAGGGGGCAGAGTTTAGCCAGCAAGAGCACCAATTTGTATCCTTCCCAAAGCCTTCCTAAACTAACCTGGGTAGGGAAACCTTGAAAGGCATTCGGAGATCTAAAAATTAGTTAAAAATACTGAGTGAATAAAAAAAACTCTTTAGGTAAACACAATGATTTTTGATATACCTACAAGTTTATTTCTTCCCTCTTTTTGGTCCATGTTGGGCTACAGTATGGACTGGCTGTTAGAATGTGGCACCTGCACACTGGGTTTTAGAGAAAGAGGCTAAGGGTCCAAGGTACAAGATAGAAAAGGAGGTAGGAGAAAAGGCAGAAGGAGAGATGTGGTGAAAGAGACAGTGAACAGGTTGGGAGCCAGGGGGAATCTGAGTTTAGAGACTATGGCGGAAGGAATAAATCATTCTAAAGCTTTTGCTTTACCAGTCTGGAGTAGGGACCTCCATGTGACAATGTCCTTGTATATTTCACTGTCTCTTAGATGATAACTTTTCCATTAGACCCAGAACTATTGGGATTAGTGTGGCCTGTACAGTCTAAGACCATGAGGACTGTTCTGTCACATGCAGTATTGGGTTCCTGGTGTCTAGCACATGCTCAGCATCAATAAGTACATTCATAGTTAGTTGGTTGTCAGCCTGGCATCCCAGGCATCAGATGCATGGCTGAAACTGTTCTTCGACTTTTTCAGGTTGTTGAACTTCTCTGATATTTTCTTTCCACAGTCACACACATTTGTCAAAAGGTTACTTAACTGGTTGGTTTTAAGATTAAATACTAAGCAGGTGATGCTTGGAGCTAATAAAGTGTATGTTGTGCAAATTCAGAATATCTTTTAGCATCTGACTCAGTGATAATGATAGTGTGGCCAGTTGGAATATTATAATTTTGGATAAAATTATAAAACCAGCTAAAATAAATAGGACAGTTTATACATGTTTGTCAGTTTAGAGGGGGCTTAAAGTTTTCTTTTATCACCTCTACTAAAAATTCCATTACTAGTTATTAGTGTTTAGTTTATGTACTTTTCATCTTTACCAGAAATACATCTAACATATAATTATAAACTCATAACTTCCATTTTACTGTTATTTTAAAAAAATCTCAAGTCCTTTTTAATTATTTAGTTTACTATCTTAGAATCTTATAGCTGTAAGGATTTGCCAAGTATATAACCTTGAGTTTTTTTTTAAGTGTGACTTTTTTTTTAAAGATGAGAAGACGTCTCAACTTGAGAGCATTTAAATTATTTTTTAAAAGGGTTAATCAGAAATAATATGTGAAAGGAACTTCACATAAGCTTTAATAGACTACAAGTACATAGGCTTTCTAACTAGTTCTATTTACATCGTGCTTTATACAACTTCTGCTTGAAATTCAGTTTCCCCTGTAGTTTACCTTTTGTGGCCAATCTTTTCTATGTAATACTCTATTATTTTCCAGGAAAAAAATATTGTTCATATTCATTGCTAAATAAATTATAAATGAAAAAGAAGAGGGGAAAAGTACCATTTTAGTTATTCAAACCATTGCCAGTCTTTACTAATCTAACTCAGAGTCCCAGATGACATAAATATGAAAACAACAACATCAACAAAATCCAGTGAGATTAAAATTTTAAGCTGCTACTTATTTTAATAAGAATAGATAATATATTTTCTTTAAAAAATAGATTGGAGGCTGTGTGATACAGTGGGACAAACATAGTTTATGGTCAGACAGGTGGGTGTGGATGCCAGCTACTCTACTGATTGACAAGTTACTGAACCAATCTCAACTTCAGTATCCTCCTCTGTGAATTGTGCATGACTCAACTAACATTCCGTGGTTTTTCTCAGGACTTAAGATAACACCTTATTAAGGCTATAATTTTACGAAGGAAAAATTAATAATAAGAGGCTGTTCCTCTTTTCTCTTCATTTCAGAGTGAACCATATAATAAGAAATGAGCCTTTCATTCTGTGGTAACAACATTTCTTCATATAATATCTATGGTGGTGTTTTACAAAATTCCTGCTTTGTGGATGCCCTCAACCTGGTTCCTCATGTCTTCCTGTTGTTTATCACTTTTCCAATATTGTTTATTGGTAAGTAATGTACTGTTCTATATTACGTCACCTAATATTTATTTTTAAAAAACTCTTATTAATGGCTGAGGCTTGGTATAATATTGACTAATTTCTCTAACATGAAAACTGATATATAACTATAAGAAAAGAACAAGCAAGTATTTTGTGTGTTCCAATTATTTAATTTTTGGCATATAACATTCTGTAGGTAAAATAGAATATACATGCCATCTTCACAATAGACATTAAGTAACAGCAATGTTTTTTTTTAAAAAGAGAGAAAAGAGAATTATATGAGATAGATTTAAAGCATTTGTTGAGCCTTGCTTTGCACTAGGTAAAGAAAATAGAAAATGAGTAAAATGCAATACTTGCCTAGGATGTTCCCTGGAATAGTCCAGTGAAACAGGTATGTCAAAGTTAAGAGAGATGACTACAGTAGTCCCCCCTTTATTTTTGATTTGGTTTTCTGTGGTTTTTAGTTATAGTCAAATGCAGTCCAGAAATACTAAATGGAAAATTACAAAATTAAACAATTCATAAGATTTAAATTGCACGTTGTTCAAAGTAGCATGATGAAATTTCGTGCTTTCCCATTCTGTCCCAAAGGGGACATAAATCATCCCTCTGTCCAGTGTATCCACTATGTATATGCTACACACCCATTAGTTACTCAGCAGCCCCCTCGATTGTCACATTGACTGTCATGATATCACAGTGCTTGTGTTCAGGTAACTCTCATTTTACTTAATGGCCTGAAAATGCAAGAGTAGTGATGCTGACAGTTTGGTTATGTCAGTGTGTCAAAGAGAAGCCATAAAGTGCTTCATTCAAATGGTAAGCTGAGTACAACACAATAAATATTTTGAGAGAGAACACATTTTCATAATTTTTATTAAAGTGTATTGTTATAATTGTTATATTTTATTATTAGTAATTTTTGTTAGTTTGGTGTACCTTTCCTAATTCATAAATTAAAATTTATAGTAGGTATTTAATATAGGAAGACATGGTAAATATACGGTTTGGTACTGTCCATGCTTTCATGCATCCACTGGAGGTCTTAGGATGTATCCCTTGAAGGTTAGGGAGGACTACTATATACCACATTGTCAGCTCAATTAAAGATGCAGAAACAAATCTTCCTGGAGATTAACCTACTAGAACAACTCACTGTTCCTGAGGCTGGAAGGGAATTTATGTTATATAGTATATCATGTCATGCAGAGGCCAGCATACTCTTGGTACACAGTTGTTCATGTTAAACCAATGTACAGACATTAAATATATTGGTACTACAATGGCCATTTATAGAGACACTAGTCGTTTATGTGGTATTATTTGCAGGACATTTAGAATGCCCTTTGGCTAAAAGTAGGACATCCTTTTTCAAAAAATTGTATTGATTTTTTTTTGAGAGAGAAAAACATCATTTTGTTTTTCCACATATTTCTGCATTCATTAGTTGATTCTTGTATGTGTCCTGACTGGGCACTGAACCCACAACATTGGTATATCAGGATGATGCCCTAACCAACTGAGTTGCCCAACCAGTGCAGAACATACGTTTTTAAAATTGCAATTCTACAATTAAGAATTCATTTCTGGCATCTAAATTAACTTCTTGAGAGCAATTACTGTGACATTTTTATTTGTATTTCTAGCATCAAATACAAAGGCTGGCAAATGGGTATTTGAATCAAGTGGAATTAAAATGAACATTGTCAAAGGGAAATGGAAGAAAATGCAGTCTATTTATCTCTAATATTGGCTACTCGAGTTAGCGAGAATACATAAATAAATCTCAAGGAACTTATCAGCTATAAGGAAAATTATAATGCTGCAAAAGAGACACAGGGCTTGCCTGCAAGAGTTTGTAGCATAAATTCTAATAAAATATGTTAAATGTAAGTAATCATCCAATAATGAAGTTCATTTGGAAACAACTAAGACAAGTCAATTTTACTTTCAAAGAATGCTCAGGGACCCCTTTCATTCATGAAGAATTTTCTTCCTACAGTATTTCAGACACAAAATACACTTATTTCTTTTAAAAATATTCTTTCTATTAAATTTATTGGGGTGACATTTGTTAATAAGAATATATAAGTTTCAAGCTATGATACATGATCTTCATGTGCATTGTACTTCCACCACCCACAGTCAAGTCATCTTTCGCCACCATGTATTTGACCCCTGTACCCTTGACCACCCTTGCACCCCCTTCCTCTGGTAACCACCATACTTGTGTCTGTGTCTATGAGTTTTTGTTTGCTTTTCTTGTTTGTTCATTTCTTGCTTTCAGTTTTATATCTTGCATATAAGTGAAATTATATGGTTCTTAACTTTTTCTGATTTACTTTGCTTAGCATGATATTCTCATCCAGGATGTTGCAAACGGCATTGTTTCATCTTTTCTTTTGGTTGTGTAGTATTCCATTTTATATGTGTACCACAACTTTCTTATCCAATTATCAATTGAAGGACACTTTTGTTGTTTCGATTTGGCAACATTTAGTTGCAAAGACATATGCACCCCTATGTTCACTGCAGCATTATTCATGGTGACCAACACATTCACTCTTGACATGTGTGGGATTTCTCAGTATTCAAAAAATGAGAAAAATGGGAGACAAAATGACCCAAAGTGGAGTTCTTTCCTAGCACACCATATATGAGTTGGTATTACTTTGCTGTTTGGGAGAAGCCATCAAAATTCTACTAAAATGTAGTCTTGACCTTTTTCTTCAATGATGAGCTAAGGGTGAAGCTATATTGTTCTTGGTGCTGCTTAAAAGGTAGACAATGAACACAATCAAGCTTTCTTTTAGAAAGAATCACTACCTCTGTTGAAAAGTGCTGGCTCAGTCATAGTCTTCATTTTTCTCACATGATACCCATATGATTAAGAGTTGACTCAACTACTGAGTCCTATATTTCATCACCAAATACAACCTTTATTGTGAGTCTTCCATAAACCCTGTGCTTTGAAAGATTTTAGACACCAAACTTCTTTTATTAATATTATCATTAACTTTTTTCTTTTTGAATGAATCAGAGAACATTCTCTGAGTAATTCTCTGTGAGTAAGAGCTTTGATTAGCATGAAATAACCATGGAGTCACTCGGACTTGGTGTTAATCCCAAACAATGCAATAAATGTTAACATGTTAACCTGGACAGTCTTGTAAAAATAAATCAAAATTTTATTTCTAACATAATGAAAATAGATAAAAATATCCATTCTAGAAATTGTAGTGTTACTCTAGAAAGCACTAAGGTTTCATGAACTCCCCAAAGCATAATGATGTAAATTTTCTCCATCATTATAATTGATTCTTTTGTTTATCTCTTTACTTTTTTCTTTTTTTCAGGGTGGGGCAGTCAAAGCTCAAAAGTACAAATTCATCACAACACATGGCTTCACTTTCCTGGACATAACCTGAGATGGATTCTTACATTTGCTCTCCTATTTGTGCATGTTTGTGAAATTGCAGAAGGCATAGTTTCAGATTCGTAAGTGACTCAACTTAGTTAATGTGATACATTATACATACACGTGAGTACGTTGATGTGGGTAGTAGCTAAGAGCATACCAAGTCAGACTTAAATTTTTGGTCATAATTTAGGAACAAGAGCTGCCACCTAGTATCTATGATGGTCATGCCTGTTGGCCTTACTTTTGTATTGCTACATAATTTCTTTGATAACACAAGTTCAGTTCTCTGTGACAAGAACTTATTGATGTACTTTCTGGTTCTTTTGCCCCTTCATCTATGTAGCCCTGGAAAAAAGTTCTGTCCTTTTAAACACTTGGGTGTTTGCCTTGTCTTTTAAAATAGGTATAAATACCAAGATTGTCTATATTGGCATATAACCTTAGTAACTTTACATTTACATATAAGTGTATAACCAATACTCAGATGTTTTGATTTACTTTATAAAGAAGCACATATAGATGAGGCAGGCATTAAAGGAGTCCAAGAATCTATGAGGATATAAGTACAAACTGAGGCATAGTGCAAAATCATTTTAAAATCAGGGTTTGTCCCCAAACCACTACTTTTGAAGGACTTTTGTCACTCTTATAAAAGAAGAAATTTATATTAGGCATTTAAAATATAATGAATTCTATTTGTAAACTTGAACATAATGTATGGGAAATATTTTTATCACATACTAACAGAAAATACACTTAGGTAAGAGGAAAATTTTGATGATAAAATTTTGCTGAATAGTACACCTTTCATTGAAGAATTGACAAGAAAGAACCTTTAAAGATTTTTAAAAAGAAAGCTCCAAAAATCATTTCTCTCTTATTGAATAAGAACTTCCCTTGACATCTGTTTATGTTTTGCTGTTTCAGTTAATGAGGAATGAAAGTTCTAAGCTTTTGCCAGGCAGCCAGTTATTTTATAATGTTGTAAGACAGTTCTTTGCATATATGTGCACATCGTGGTTTCTGATAAAAAGACAAATCAGAGACTCTAAGATATGTCATGCCTTCAAGTATTTAGAAGCCTAATCGGCTGTTCTCCTATTGATAATTGTTTAAAGCACTTTTGTGTTTTTGTACTATATTCTATTAGCATAGCCAATTCTAGTGTTCACTTTTTAAAAAAAAATTATTTATTTATTTTTAGAGAGGGAAGGGAGGGAGAAAGAGAGAGAGAGAAACATCAATGTGCGGTTGCTGGGGGTCATGGCCTGCAACCCAAGCATGTACCCTGACTGGGAATCAAACCTGCAACACTTTGGTTTGCAGCCCACGCTCAATCCACTGAGCTACTCCAGCCACGGCCTTAGTGTTCATTTTTTTATTCCCTTAATATGTATGTGTATACGGGCCAACTCTACATTTTTCTGTATGTATAACATGGAAGATTGGTCAGTCCAATATTTCCTAAAAATTTGGTATCACTTGGGCAAGGATGACTTCTCCTTTCTAGCCTCATGGTTAATGTACAGGTTCAGCCAGAGACTTAAAGCAAGAGGCTGCACTAATAATGATGGGGCATATGCTATTGGCAGAATCTTATCTTATAGTGGTAGTGACACAAGAGACCCATGCTAAAAACAAGCAGAAATAAACTTTTGAGTTTGCCCTACTCCCTCCCATTCTTTAGCTCTAGACTTTTTGCCCATACTCTTTTTATTCAAGCTTCTCAAAAGTCCTCTTCCAGCTACTTATGAACCCAAATATTGAGTTTGTCTTCTCATGCTCCTATAAGAATTCCAGTGAAGATTAACAATACCTTAAAGGATACCTTTTCCTCCTTAACATAATTGCTATATTTGATGCTGCTGATCATTTTTTTCTTCTTTATTTTTTTAAACAAAATCTTTATGGATTTTTTATATAAATATCACAAATGCTCATTATAATTAGTAAAACAATACAAAGACTTTCTAAATCGAAATAACTGGTTTCTTTTATAGTAATACAAATATTAAAGCTATTAATTTTTCTTTTGAAATATCCTTATCTATTTTGCATAGGTATTTGTAATGTGCTCACTTTTTTTTATCTCTATCTAAATAATTTATCATCTAGTATAGATACTCTCTTAGGTCTAGGAATCATTTTTACTTTGCTCTTTAGTCTACTTTGAAAGGTTTAATATTAGGGCATGTAATTTGTTAAATGAACACCTCTTGGAATTTATTACCATTTTCAAAATAGTAAAATATTTGATTATTTTACAAATATTTAATGAGTGTTAGAAAATAATATACATTCTTTGTAGGAAATGAAATTTTGATGAGTTTATTGATGAATTACTAGAGTTCTGTGCATTGATTATTTTTATATTATTTAATCCATTAAATTCTAAAAATGTATATTAAAATCTTCACTATCATGTTTTCATTTAGGTTTTTATTTTTATCATTTTCTATTTTTTGAAATTATTCTTTTGTCCTACATAATGTGCACTTTAAAAATTTTCTTCCTAACCTTCTGGCTAAAGATTTTCTGCTATAATGGGATATAAAGACTTCCACAGAACGTTGAGATCTGTGAATCACATTCTAAAAATAATAGAGCTTAAGGGAAAAGATAGGGTTGGGGCAACTACTAGAGTAACCTAGACAACTTTTCTAATTAAAAAAACTTAAATGGTTAGGAGACATTAATAAACGAATGCTACAGTAAATACAAAACCTTACAGTATTACAGAAAAACCCTGCTATCTTTATTCTTTCTTTACTATTGCTTCTCTTAATGATGCCTTGTAGTTCTTTTTCTAACTTGAATTGACTACTTAATTTATTATAATTATTTCTTATTGAATATGTGTAAGGTTATAAACTCTCTTCTGGTTATAGTTTTGGCAGCATTTAACAAGCTTGAATTAGTAGTATGCTTATCTTAAATTTCCTAAATATTGAGTGATTTTAAAAATTCTTTCTTTGGTTCAATAATTAGAGAATATTAGAAGCATTTCCTAATTCTTGTACTGATGAAATATATATTTCCTACTTTTTTTCTTTGACCACTTTCAACTATTTCTGGGAGGTGGTGGGTGGTTTTTAAGCTAGTTTTTATGCTATCTAGAACTTTCATATTTTCATTACTATGTCTATACTAATGTTTCCAGGTTTATCACTGATCATGTTCCAAATCTCTACATATTCCTATTAGACAACTTCCTTTGCATGTTTATTAGTCCACACACTCCTGCTGAAATGAGTTACTTTCTTCTTTCCAATCTGCTCATCCTCTTAAATTTGTATTTGTCCACACCACCATCCACCCAGGCACTGTGGGAATTATTCTCTATCTCTCCATTGCTGTCATCCACATACCCTAAAACTGTTAAAGTCTTGTCTATTTAACAGTTAATATTTTGCAAATGTATTACTTCCTTTATATTTCTGCCACCCAAGCTTAATTCAGGCTTTCATCATCCCTCACCTGGCCTACACCCACACTTGGCTAACTGCTCTCTTTCTTTCTGTGTCTCTTTCCTCACCTCAGACCTGCACACTACCTATCAACTCCATGATCTGCATGACTACCAGACTGATATGTCTAAAACTCAGATTTGACCATACCACCTACCTGGTAAAGTATTCCAATTTTCTGCAAGATTAGAGCCCAGCTCCTTATATCACACACAAAGCCCTTTATCCTATCTCAGATTTTCTGCTTAAGGAACATTACATTGCTTGGAATTTTGAAGATGCTATACTGTTTCATGCTTCTATGTATTTGCACATTCTGTTCTCTTTTTTAGAAGTGCTCTTCTACCACTTTCCTTACTAGTGGATTCCTTTATATATTTCAGTTCCCATTGTCAACCACACCTTACTCTGAAATAACTTTCCCAAATGTTCCTCTTTCCCCCGCTCTCAAACGAGTTACTTTCTTCTCTGTTTTTGTATCAATAATATATTTAAGTATTTGAGAAAATATGTTTAATTTTGTATTATTGTTAATGCAAATGAGTTGAGGGCTATCTACGATGCAAATCTGTCCTGTCATATTTCTGATCCACCTGAAACTCTCTATAATCCTCAGAATGACGCCTCATCTCCTTGCAATCATACTGAATTGCTTGCAGTACCCTTGAACATATCTAGGCCCTCTGCCTAAAACTGTTTTACTTTCTTCTTCTGCTGTGTATCAATTTCTCATTCTTTTTTTCTTAAACTTGCTTTTATTGTATTTCAAGTACAGCTGTCTCCATTTTCTCCTATGCCCTCCCCCCTGCCCCACCAACCCCCTCTTCCCACCCTCAGTCCTACCTACCTTTGGCTTTGTCCATGGGTCCTTTATACATGTTCCTTGAAGACCCTTCCCTTTCTTTCCCTTGTTGTCCCCCCTCCCCCTGCCTCTGGTTACCCTTAGTCTATTCTTTATTTCAGTGTCTCTGTTTGTATTTTGCTTGCATGTTTGCTTTTCTGATCAGATTCCACTTATAGGTGAGATCATATGGTATTTGTCTTTCACTGCCTGGCTTATTTCACTGAGCATAATACCCTCCAGTTCCATCCATGCTGTCACAAAGGGTAGAATCTCTTTCTTTCTTCTGCTGTCTAGTATTCCACTGTGTAAATGTACCACAGTTTTTTGACCCACTCATGAAGTCTCAGTCTAGAACCCCATTCCTTGACAAAGCTTCCCTCTGTTGCAGGCACTAGCCCTGTCTACACTCACAGTCTCTTCATCTGTGTTATAATTTCCTATATTCTATTGCTCTTCTTTAAACTCTAAATTTTGTGATCACAGACACTGTATCATGTTTTGTTTACTGCTACATCCCTAAATCTAATATAATGTCTGGACCAACAAACACATGTAAATTCAATGAATTAATGAAACTGGAAGAATCACTGAAAAGTTTAGGAAAGCTATAAAAAACATACTTTTCAAAGACTTTAGCACTTATTTTCAGTTGATTGTTCTTACTTGCTATGGGTGTTAAATTGTTTTAGCAGGTCTCCTCCTCAGGATAAGAACAGTTATATATTTGCTTTTATTGTATGCATTTTAAGGTCTTGTTTAGCTGTGTTTACACAGCCCTCCATGTTAGCGTTGATCCTTTCAACAGAATTCTGTCTCTTGCCATAATCTTCCTTTCTTTATATGTTCTTTTGTCAACTACCACTGAATTCTGTATTTTACATATCTTATTGCTAAGAGAGAGTTTTTATGAGAAAATTGAAAACAAAATGAGAGACTGTCCAGAATCACCTGCTGCAGCCACTGACATTGTACCGCTCTCTGCAGACGCCGGGAATCGCGGCATCTCCACCTCTTCATGCCGGCCGTGATGGGATTTGTTGCTACGACAACATCAATAGTATATTATCATAACATTGAAACATCAAATTTTCCTAAATTACTTTTAGGTAAGTATGAACAAATGTCCACCCCCCATTCTGGAAAGAGCTATCTGTTTTCCCTTTTCTTCATGGTAGATGCTACTTAACTTCATGAGGTTGAGATTAGGAAGAATTACCCATGGGAGAACCACAATATTTAATTATTCCGTAGGCTCCCCATAAATGTGGTGATGAAAATAAGCCGAGTTGCTGTAGGCTGTAAAAACATCATTTCGCTAGGATATCTGTTGTGCCTGAAATGCCCCTCGCGATGCATTGGTGCATGGCGGAAGGAAAGGGGAGGGGATGTGCTGGCCTTCTGGTGGCACAAGCTGTACTCCCAGCACTCTGGCGACGCGCTGCTGCACTGAGTGGCTCCCTGAACCAGACGTTTCCTCTAGTTCCACGTGTGGCTAAGGTTCAAGCTTTCCATTGAAACTGTGGGAGAGGCACGCCCCTCCTAGAATGGCTGCGGAGGCAGCAGGGGGACTCCAGGTGGCAGAGCATCCTTGCCAGCACACGGAGAACTGAGTTGAGAACTGGCAGTGAGAATCACTGCCCCAAAGCGCAGCCCCGCGCGTCTGCGTCAGGCGTCACATCATCGCCTTAGTCTCTCTTGCCCCTCTCCCCTGCGGATCAGAGGCTGTCCGAAATGTTCCTCGTTTTTCCCTTAGGCTGAAACAATAGAACTTATCCCAATGAGCTAGATTCAATACTCTGACCCATCGTAGCATTCCCGGGTGCACACTTTCATAAACAGAACTAAGAGGAAGCTATAGAACATGGACCATATACGACCTTCAGGGATCGATCTGTGACTCTCCTAAAATTGTAGTCAGAGTGGTGTGTGTTTGTGTGTGAATGAGTGCTTATAATCTTCTATGTTTTATAAATTTTATTTGATTGGTATATGAACATAACATTGATGACTGATACAGAAACTAAGAAAAGTAGCAATTAAATCACACATATGTTATTTGCTTGTCCAGAGGATATTAAAATTTAAAACAGATAAGAGAAGAATACTAATTATTTAATTTTTTGTTGACTTGCATTATTAGATTGTGCAAAAGTAATCTAACAAGAATAAGTAGACGGGTTAAATACCAATTTAAAAAGCCTGTCAAAGTCTAAATTATCTTACTAGAAAGCTCTGCAGTACAAAATAGCAGGCAGATATCATCACAGAAATTTTTTATGAAGATATCCCCCCAAAAGCAAAATTTTCACCAGGCAACAGCCAAAAAATATGCATAGCATTGGGAATTCGAAACACTAGATATTAAGTTCCTTAAAAACTGATGATGATATAAGCGTTATCAGATGTAATTAGAAAGGAAACTGCATTTTAATAATATTTTGAAGGAGATATGATCAGAATCTCGCTGTAATTTTTATGTAGATACAAGGCAGAGGGCACAATTTGATCATATTTCTGGAAGGACTTATAGAGATGAAAAATAGTCTAACTTCTTCTTATTTTAGGAAAGAAATATTTGGACCTAGAAAATCACACTTATTTTAAGATCACAAAATTAGTCATTTTGTCCCAACATTGTATTTTTCCCCTACCAAACATAAAGTTGAAGTAATTATGTGAATATTCATATATCTACCACCTAGATTCTTCAATTTACATTTTATTCTATTTTATCAGATTATCTACATTTTCTACCCTTCTCCATCAATTAATCCATCTTATTTTTGATGCATTTAAAGTAAGTTGCAGGCATTAATATGCATCATCCCCTGATTATTTCAACATATCATTAACTAGAGTTAAATACTCATTTACAGTTCTTTTTTGTGAGATAAAATTTACATACTGAAGTACAGAAATCTTAATTTGCTGAATGCATACACCTGCAGAACATTGCCCTGGCCCATGAAAGTTTTCTTGTGCTCCTTACCAGGCAATCCTGGTTTTCATTGCCCCAGAGGCAATGCCTAATCTGATTTTTTCCCCACCATAGGTTAGATTTGCCAGCTCTAGAACTTCATAATCATTGAACCATATAGTTTAAGCTCTCTTCTTTAAGACTTCTTTCCCTCAGCATGACTTTTTGAGGCTGATTCAGATTGTAGTATCAATCAATATTTGTTCTTGTAATTGTTGGGTATTCCACTGTATAAATACACCTCAGTTTTTTCCATTTTCTTGTCTATATACACCTAGACTGTTCCCAGGTTTTGGCTATCATGGAAAAAAAGGCTGCTGTAATCATGCATGTGTAAGTCTTTTGATGGATATGGTTTTATTTCTTTTGGGTATAGAGCTAGGAGTGAAATTTCTGGGTTATAGGGTAGGTAGGTAAATGTTTATATTTGTGAGAAACCATGAGATCTTTTCCCACGGTGGTTTACTTTCCAGTTGCACTAGAAATGTGTGGGAATTCCAGTTGTTCACATGCTCACCATCATTTGATTTTCTTAATTTCGTAATTTAGCCATGCTGTTAGGTATGAACTGCTAACACATTGTGGGTTTAGTTTGCTTTCCGCTCAGGGCTAGTGACGTTGACCCTTTTTGATGAGTTTATTGGCCATTCGTTATTTTTATGAAGTGGCTATTCATATATATTTGCCAACTTTTTATTGGTTGTATTTTTATTATTGAGTTTTAAGAGTGCTTTTTATATACTGGATGCTAATATGTCATCAGATACATGTGTTTAGAATATTATCCTCCTAGTCTGTGGCATGCATACTCCTTTACTTAACAAGGTATTTTTATGAGCAGAAGATTTTAACTTTGATGTAGTATAATTCATTATTTGTCATGTATAGTTATTGATTTCTGTGTCTTAAATCTTTGACTTCTCAACATATTATTCCCTCATATTTTTCTATTTTCTTTGACAAGCTTTATAGTATCAATTTTTATTTTGAGAACTATGATTCATTTATGTTAACTGTGTCTATGATATAAGGTTGGTATCAAGGTTCTTTTTTCTCCAAATGGGTATTCATGTATTTGAGCACCATTTGTTGAATAGACTTTCCATTTCTTGGGACCTGTGTAAAGAATGAAATCAAATAACTGTTCGAGTATGATCTATTTCTCGACTCGGTATTTTTTATTCCATTGAACTTTTTATGCCATTATCCTTTTGTCCTGATTACTGTAGCTTTGGAAGTTTTGAAGTCATGTATTATGATCACACAACTTGTTTTCTTTGTTTCTCTTCCAAGACTGCTGTGGATATGCTAAATTTTTTTCATTGCCATATGCAGTTTAGAATTGGATTGTCATTTTCTACTACCAAATGTATATCTATGTGTGTGTATATGTGTATGTGTGTGTGTGTATATATAAAACTGGTGGATTATGATAGGAATTACACTGAATGTATAGAGCAATTTGGGGATAATTGACATCTTAAAAGTATTGTTTCACAATTCATTCTTTATTTGTTTAGGTCTCTCATTTGCTTTAGCAACGCTCTATAGTTTTCAATGTAGAGGCCTTTCCATGTCTTACTAATTGTAATACTAGCAATTTTGGTTCACTGCTGCTATATATATGCAATTGTATTTTAAATTTCATTTCCATTTGCTTCTATCATTTGATAAAATGCAGTTGATTTTGTATATTGACCTTGATTCTTGTCACCTATTCTAATTATTACTTTGTAGGTTTCTTTAGGTTTTCTATATAAACAAATACCATCTGAAAATAGAGACAGTTGTATTTCTTTCTTTTCCAAGTTTAATTTATGCTTTTTTGCCATATTGCATTAGGTAGGCCCATCAGTAAAATGTAGAATAGACATGGGGAGAATGAAATCTTTGCTTATTTCCTCATGTTAAGGAAAACATAGTCTTTCATAATTAATTATAAAGTTAATTATAAACTTTTCATATAAGACCTTTATCAGGTTAGTAAGTTTTCTTTTATTCAAAGCTTTCTCAGAGGTTTTTTAAAAATCATACATAGATACTGAATTTTATTAAAGATTTTTTCCTGCATTTGTCGGGATACATATTTCTGATAATGTGCTTCTGTCGATGTATATTTATTAATTTTTTAAGTGAGAAAGTAACCATGTGTTTCTGGGCTAAGCTGCACATCATACATTATTCATGCTATATATTGCAAGATTTTATTTGTTAAGGTTTTTTATAGCTAGGTTGTGAGGGGTATTGATCTGTTTTTTTCTCCCAATCTTTTCCAGTTTTTATATGTTGGGATATACAAATGAATTTGCAAATGTTCCCTATTTCTATTTTCTGAAAGACAGTCATGAGATTAATTTTATTTCTTCCTTAAATTTTTGATAGAATTCACCAGTGAAGTCACCTGGGCCTATACCTTTAACTAAGGGAGGATTTTAAATTATAAATTTATTTATTAGATATAGTCTCTTCAGAGAATCTATTTTATCTCATTTCAATGTTGATAAGTTATAGTTTTCAATAAATGTTTTTATAGTTTTCAATAAAGTTTTACAATTTTGAAATATAAATTTCAAATCTCTCAGTTTTCTATTTATTGTCATAAAGTTGTTTAAGATATTCCCCAATTTTCTTTTTTAAGTACCTGGTATATGCAGTGATAACTCTTCTTTCATTCCTAGGATTAATAATTTGTGTTTCTTTTTTCCTGATTATTCGAGCAAGGGCCTTATCAATTTTCTTGATCTTTTAAAAAAATTAACCTTGTTGGCTTTGTTGTTTTTTAAAAAATTTTCTCAATTATTTGTTTTCTATCTTATTGCTTTCTATTCTTATCTCTGTTGTTTCCATCCTTTTATTTTGTTTATTATTCTTCTTTATCCTATTATCCTATTATCCTAGCTTTTAAAATGGAAACATAGATCATTGGTTTTAGACTTGTCTTTAGAAAACTGTACTTGAATAATGATTAAAATAAAATTTAAAAAAGTTATGAATTTTTATCTAAGTATTGCTTTAGTAGCTATCCTTAAATTTTTAATATGTAGTATTTTTATTAAAATTTTCTTTAAACATTTTCTAACTTTCCTAGTGATTTATTCTTTAGTATGTGGTTAATTAGAAATGCACTGTTTAAATTACAACTATTTGGAGACTTCTAGATATCGTGCTATGTGCAAAGACTGAAAGGTTATGTCTATTATCTGTGTGCCTGGTGTTAGCACCCTGGACTACCTGTCCTCTTAAGTGTGAGTGGGACTTGTGACTTAATTCTGGCCAGTAAGTTATGGCAAAGAGGATAATGTGAAATCTTTTGAGACTGCAGCCCTATCCACATATCCATGGCAGCCTGACTCCATAGAAACTCTTGACCCATGGAAGTTGTGAGATAATAAATATGTGTTGTTTTAAGCTGCTAAGTCTGTCACAATTTGATAAGCAGCAACAGAAAACACATTTATTATTCTTGACTTTTAGTTTAACTTCATTGTTATCAGAGAACATTCTCTATATGACTTCTGTATTTTAAATTTGTTGCTCCTTGTTTTCTGAAGATACTGTCTGCACCCGTGCTATGTGCACTTAACAAGAATATATATTCTGAAGATTTGAGGGTGTATTTTTATAAGATTAAATATCAATATTATAAATACTTAACAGTTCAATGGGGTTGATGGTGTTCAGATTGTCCAAGTCTTTATTAGGCCTATGTGAATTTTAATTGTCTAATTCTTAAAAATTGACGCATTTGTCTTTATTAAAAATTTTTTAAAATTTCTAATAGTATTCTTTAAGTCTACATTATCTGACACTAATATAACTACCCCAGATTTCTAATGCTTTACTGTGTATTTTTTCCTTCCACTTATATTCAATCTGTTTATTTATATTTAAGGTGAATCTCTTAGTTAGCATATACTAATTTGGCCTGTTTTAATTTTTTTCTAAATCCATTTTGACAATCTCCATATTTTAAGCAAAAAAAAAAAGGATGTACAATGAGCTTAAATGACAATTTAGTTCTTTTTCACTAAGAAAGTTGTGATTATCCATCAACATTCTGGCTTTGATACGTGTTGTCCAAACTGGATTACCTCATATGTGTTTACAGTTCTTCTCTCTCATCCTCTGTTCATTTGTACTGACCTTTATTCAAACTTCAAAGTATACTGAATTCATCACAACAGATTTCTAGGAACATCTCTGCTTTTATCTCTGTTTGCTGCAACATTGTGGCTGTGGTTGTGAGGTGGTGTAGATCCCAGTCCTGACTGACTGTTTGTAGGCTGGGTTTGATCTGTAGGATTGTTGTTCTCTGTGTTTAGTGGTTTCATGTGGGGTTTTAAACCATTTTGAGGGAGAAGAGTCATTAATTGAATGCTGATTTGTAAAGCAGGAAACCTATCACATAACTACATGGATTCCACAATAATTCCAGGGTTGCACTGTTAGACACATCCCTAGAAGTTGAAACACACTTATTGGTTAGGTTATACAAATACCAACTTGTGAATTCTTCATATAATGAAGGCTTTAAAAAAAAAACAAGACCAGAAGACAAAGTCCGTTTTGAAGTCTACAGAATTACACATAAGTTCTGAAATGTATAGACTCTCCTGTTCTATGTCTCCTGTGTCTGCCTCTATCACATATAATCAGAGTGGGAGCACTAACATTTCACAGTCATCACCATACCTTCAATTCAAAACTCTAAAAATGCACTAAAGCATACATGTTTTCTTAAATAAAATTATCTGGAAATAGAATATTTAAACTTGTCTTTTGTTATTAAAAAGCATTATATTTATACTGACATTTCAGTGAAGTTTTAAAAAAATATTAGCGAAAGATTGCATCTTTTTCTTTTTTCAGCTCTATTCCTGTATTGGGTAATGGCCTTTATTACAAAAACCATAAAATTGGTCAAGTACTGGCAGTCTGGTTGGGGAGTGTCAGATCTGCGCTTCTGCATCACAGGCATAATGGTCATCTTGAATGGACTCCTGATGGCTGTGGAGATCAACGTCATTCGGGTCAGAGTAGGTATCTGATGATTCTTTGCTTAGTTCCCGGAATTCAAGATTCTGATATTAAAGATCATAGTCAGCTAGAAATCATTAGTATTTAACAAATGTATGTCATCTACATGTATAAATAGAAAGCTCAAGTAATCACTAAGTTTCAGACCACTAATGTTCCAGAAATCTTAATTTGACCCTGGAATATATTTATTCACTCACAAATATTGATTGAATGCTTGTTATGCACTAAACACTATGATTAGTTCAAATTATAGATGAAATTGTTTTCATCAGAAGTTTCAGAAGTTCCGTCATCCATGAGTGATACCAACCAAGTAGTTTGATTAAGTAGTTAATCAAACTACTGTATTATCAGAAATTTCAAATGGAAAAGATGATCTAATCCAACTTGTTCATTTCACTGTTGCAAAAACTTTTATAAAGATAACTCTTGCTATATATCCAAGTACATGGTCAAGACTCATATCTAACCTGTGATTACAAATCTACTGTACTTTCCACCACATAATGCTTCCAGTTCTATTGTATGACATTGTAGAGGTTGATTTTCCAATGCCCATTTTCTATCAGAGCACTTTCAATGTGCACTGAATGGCAAGACACATGCTGCAATAAATAGTGGAGAACAGTCAGTTAACATTAGTCAGACCACAAATTCTAACAGAATGACTTAGCAGTGGTGCTGATAACACATTTTAAAAATCGAAAGAATGTAAAGATCTTCATTTAGTTGACTTTATCACAGGATATCATGAAACCATTGATTTTTAGTAATGGTTATTGTTTAAAAAGGATAATTGAGTTTTTAGAAGTAGTCCCAAGTGGATTAAATGTAAAATTCTGGAATTCAATTAGTTAATTTATTCACAACAAAAGGGAAATATTTTAAAAAATATTTCAGAAAAGGATGGAAAGAGGTATGAACATATCAATTTTGGCCCCCTGAAATGAAAATGCAGAAAAGGTTAAAATTTTATTTTTAATACATGAAAAAGAATCAGATTCATTGTTATTCTGTGGAATTTTTCTTGCCACAGAGATATGTTTTCTTCATGAATCCTCAGAAAGTAAAGCCTCCTGAAGACCTCCAGGATCTGGGTGTGAGATTTCTTCAACCATTTGTAAATTTACTGTCAAAAGCAACATACTGGTGGATGAACACACTTATCATATCTGCTCATAAAAAGCCTATTGATCTGAAGGCAATTGGAAAGTTACCAATAGCAATGAGGGCGGTAACAAATTATGTTTGCCTGAAAGATGCCTATGAGGAACAAAAGGTAACATAATATCTGTTTTTTATGTTCCTGATTGTAGTGGATGGGGCTATTAAAATAAGGGCACTAAGCATAAATCATATGTATGGTTAAGGAAGAGCAGATTTTTTTCTCTCTGTCTTTCCCAGTAGTTTTGAGTCATGTTAATTGGGCTGCTGAGAACACAAACCAGAAACACAGTGTGGGGGCAAAAGTAGGTTTACATTGTGAGTACATGAAACAGTTTATTCTTATATTATTGTTCAGTAATTATTGCATTGGTTTCCATACAAACAATTGTAAAACTGTTTTTGCCCCATCCTGTATGTTGTGTTAGTTGCCCCATCAATGCATGAGTAGGGATAGAGAGAGCACTCTTGGCTCTGGGACCAAGTGGAAAGTGAGAATCAAGTCCAGTATAGTGTATGTCTCGTCCTTGTTACCATATAATGTTAACAATGCATGGGATTGTTAAGTTTCTTTTAGATCATGTCCACTAATAACTGACTTTTAAGAAACCAAAATCCTTTAGTTATTAACTAAAATTTGGAACTTGAATTTCAAACTTAAGAACCTAAATCGAATAAAGGGGCATCTTCTACCTATTCCCTGTACGTACCAAGCTATATGTCAGCCAAAATTGGTTTCTTCTAGTACTTTCTTTGAGTATTTATAGTTGCTTTAAAAATATAAACACGAGAGTCTTTGGATCTTTTCAATTTGTCTTGTTTTCATTCTTTATGCTATCCACAGTAGTAGATGTATTTTACATTGCAATCATCTACAGATTTTATTGTAATTAAAAATAAGAGTAACAATATGGAATTGCCTCAGAAAACTAAAAATGGATCTGCCTTTTGACCTGGCAATTTCACTGCTGGGATTATACCCTAAGGACCCTGAAACACCAATTCAAAAGAACCTATGCACCCCAATGTTCATAGCAGCACAATTTACAATAGCCAAGTGCTGGAAGCAACCTAAGTGCCCATCAGTAAATGAGTGGATCAAAAAACTGTTGTATGTTTACACAGTGGAATGCTATGCAGCAGAAAGAAAGAAGGAACTCCTACCCTTTGCTACAGCATGGATGGATCTAGAGAGCATTATGCTAAGTGAAATAAGCCAGGCTGTGAAAAACAAATACCATATGATCTTGCCTATAAGTGGAACCTAATCAACAACACAAACAAGCAAGCAAAATATAACCAGAGACATTGAAATGAAGAACAAACGGACAGTAACCAGAGGGGAGGTGGAAGAGGATAATGGGGGAAAAGGGGGAGGGGTTTTAAGGAACATGTATAAAGGACACATGGACAAAACCAAAGGGGATAGGATCGAGAGTGGGAGGTGGGGATGGCTAGGGTGGGGGGAGTGGTTGGGGGGAAAATGGAGACAACTCTACTCGAACAACAATAAAAAAGTATGAGTATTCACAACTGGAAGGGAGCAGAGTATGGAGAATCAGTTATAGAGTTTTTGGCTGTTCTAAATTAAAATCAACAAAACATTTATGGTAAATGATGAAAATAACCTCTGTGTGGGGTCAAAAATGTGTATTATGAAATTAATGTTGCAGGAAATGGTTACTACAAATGAACTTGACTCATCCCTTTGCTTGTACCTCTGGGAAAAAGTATTGCATAATATTTTTTAAACTACTGTACTAAAGTAAAGATTAACAATATAGCCTAAACATAGCTTAAGTTTTTGAGCACTCATAACACAGATTAGCTTGAAATTGGTGTGTTAATGACTTTTATCAAAAACTTAAACAATAATCAAATTATTTATCTAACAGGAAATGAATATGAAACACAATGGAACTCTATTGCATTGAATTAGCTTCTTTGCCACAGTGAGAAAACTATTCACCTCTTCTCTAAGAGATAGTTATGAAGACTGTTTAGTTCTTAAAATCTTTTCAACAAATGACTACAGATGTGTGAAGCCATGAGTTGGCTTAAGTTATTTGGTATATTTGTGACAACCCTACAGTTACCAAATCAAAGGGAATCAAAATTATTGTAGCCTTTAGAATTTCGGGTGATGTTTTGATAACTAAAAATAATACAATATCTGAAAACTGGGCTGGTTACTCTTTATTCTATATCATTAACATGCATTCAGTAGCATAGAATGCAAGGATAGAGAATCATGTATACTATACTGAAAGAGACTCATTAGCAGTTATTTAGAAACCTTTAAAACATCATCAAAAATATCAGAAGAAATTTCCATGGTGGCTAAGAGTAATTGCTACTCTAGTCATTTTATTTTGGTTCATCTGGATTTTTGTTTTGTTTGCCTTTTTTTTTTTTTCAGAAAAAAGTAGCAGATCATCCAAACCGGACTCCCTCCATATGGCTAGCAATGTATAGAGCTTTTGGGCGACCAATTCTACTGAGTAGCACATTCCGTTATCTTGCTGACTTACTGGGTTTTGCTGGACCTCTCTGTATTTCTGGAATAGTGCAGCGTGTGAATGAAACCCAGAATGGGACAAATAACACAACAGGAGTAAGTTTGTCATGATTTTGAAAGGAAACATTGGCACATTTCATTATAATTGTTACTTTTTTATTGGATTTATTGGGATGACACTGGTTGTCAAAATTATACAGGTTTCCAGTGTACAATTTAGCAACACATCATCTGTACACTGCATTGTGTGCTCACCACCCCAAGTTAAGTCTCTGTCCATCACCACTTATCCCCCAAACCTTCCTCTACCTCCCCCCTTTCCTCCTGGCTCTGATAATCATCACACTGTTGTCCATGTCCATGAGCTTTTTCTCTTTTAAATTTTTTTTCTCTGTCCCTCTACTACCCTACTCAGCTCCCCAACCCCAACAACTGTCAGCCTGCTGTCTGAGTCTGTCTCTAGTTTGCTTGCAGTGGAATACTACTCAGCCATTAAAAGGAAGAAAAATTTTACCCTTTTCGACAGCATGAATGAACTCAGAGAGCCTTATGCTAAGAGAAATAGGCAAGTAAGAGATAGACAAATACCAAATGATTTCACTCATCTGTGGAGTCTAATGAATACAGTGTTATTTTTTATTAATGCAGTTTTATAAGCAGTTCAAGCAGGTTTATGTATAAAGAATTGAATGCTTTTTAAAAAGGAAAACAATAATTGTGGAGAATATATTGCATTTGTGTATTAATTGAATGAATCTGGTCAACAAAATCTTGTCTCAGATTCAGAGCCTATAAAAATGGAATAGGCATTTACCGTGTGCCAGAAATTATGATTGGAAATTTCACACTGGTTATTTTATTTTGTCTTTATAGCAATCCTTTAAAGAATTTTCATGCATGAGTACATGAAGGGTGGTGTTTGAGTCACGTTTTCAGAGGCCTATAACCGAGAACGTTAGCAATGTGATTTTTAATATGTACGTTGCCTTTTTCTAATATGTTAAAGCCATCCTGATTCACAATGATAAGGGCAAGTCACATTATGATGTCTTTATCAGATGCTATGTTACTATTTTGAGGGCTTTTTAATATAAGATATTTGCTGTTATAAATTTATAATCTCATATTTTCTGTTCTTAATAAAGGATACATCATCACAAATTTCCTGTTTTTTTCTAAGATGAGTTAATTTCCCTAGTTTCATAGATAGAAATGCTAGTACAGATGCATCGACTTTCCTTTTCAAGTTTCTCAATCTGTTTTCTTTCTACTCCCTCAATCTGATTTCCTGTCATTTTTTTTACCTATTGAAATGTTATGCATTTTCAAACCCTGCAGTAAATGCTGACTTCTCAGTGAATCTTCTTTGGATTGTCCTCGTTGGAATTTGACTTTCCTGTAACACGTTGTTTAATTCATGTTGGCACTTACCATAAATGCTATTTATAATGAAGCATGTTATTTATGGATAGGCTTATCTCTCTAGGTTGAAAGCTTTTTAAACAGAATGACTGTGAACAGTCCATATTTGTGCCCACAATGCTTAGTCCAGTTCCTTGCGTACAACAGTGTTCAATTATTCATATTACTGAAGTGAAGCAGATATTTGCACTTTTGTGAAGTAATCCCTACTACCTAATTACATACAGATATTTAAATTTCACATAAAATTATTCTGTCTTCCCTCTCCCTTATGTATATTAGCCACACATTTGTCTGAGAAGAACAGAACTTACAAATTTTATGTATCCCCATGAAAGATGAAGGGACCAGAAGTAGAATTTAATGGGTCTAGACCGTAAAAAATGAGAGTGTTCATAATGACATGATGTACTTATTTGAGTACTTATTTTCCTTCACTTCTAACATACAAATTATAATATGCCATTGTTACAAACAAAAAACAACCAATTTTACTAAGTCATATTCCTACTAAAACAACTGCTTTCCTAAGTTTGTTTTTTTATCACTGGAAATGTCATGTAGGTAAAATCAATAGCCAAGTTATGTACTTTATAATTTATTTAATTAATATAAATTAAGATATATGAAAATCAGAAACAGTCAACTCGGCAGAATTATTTTAAAATAATAAGGCTGTAGAAGTTGTATTTTTGTTTCATTGGCCTTGCTGACCAAGTGTCAGTTTTGTGGTTTTTACTTCTAAGTGAGTCTAAATTAACTTCTGTTACCAATATTACTAAGGTAGAATATATCTTTGCAGAAATATACTCAGATTTTTAACAAAATTAAAATGTATTTTTTTCCTACCATCAGGCATTTCCAGCTATTGTAATGATCAGTTTGGGATTTTATGCACTGAACTGATTTCTATTAGTTTTTGTGGACGTTATGAAAAAAAAACCCAAATTGCCTTTCTGTGGCTCATTCCATGGATATATTATAAAGATACTGAGTTTTTAGTTTTAAAAATTATGTATCATTTAATAAATACAAACTACAACTGGTATATGAAAAGACCAATTTTAATTTATGTCTTTTTTTTTCTTTTGGGACAAGTATTCAGAAACCCTCTCATCAAAGGAATTTCTTGAAAATGCTTATGTTCTAGCAGTTCTTCTTTTCTTGGCCCTTATTCTGCAAAGGACGTTTTTGCAGGCTTCGTACTATGTAACCATAGAGACGGGCATTAACCTCCGTGGAGCTCTGCTGGTATGTACAAGCTTTGCATGATCTTTGGTTCTTTAAAATGCCACATACCAGCCAGTGACAGAAAGGGTAGTTGGGTTTGTTTTTGTTTTTGCATTTCATTTTCACATTGTTGTTATAACATCAACACTTCTAGGACCTACTTAATAAAAGAAACGTAGAGCTAATTAATAAACCCACTGAATTTAAAAATAACCTTTAAGTAATATATTAAGAAAAATATTTTGAAACTTTGCATTTACTTATCTCTGTTCTAGAGCTTATGATTAAATTTGAATGTATGTTTTGATTATATCTCTAGAAAAGATAAGTTTGTATTTAGTTGAGAATTGAAAGTAACTATGCTAAAATGAAAATAATGGTGGACTTAAGATGGCATTATAGGTTTCTTCCCTTTTTAAAACAATTTTAAGTGTTATTTTAATGAAAATAAATATATATAGTGTTGATCATTAAATTTAGAGCTTCAAATACATTTTCTTTTCTTTTTTTTTTTTTGCAGGCCATGATATACAATAAAATCCTTAGACTTTCTACATCTAATTTATCCATGGGTGAGATGACCTTGGGACAGATTAATAACTTGGTTGCCATTGAAACCAATCAACTCATGTGGTTCTTGTTCCTGTGTCCCAATCTATGGGCCATGCCTGTTCAGGTAGATCAATATAAGTAAGATTCTCATTTGTAGAGGAAATCAAACAAAAGGAGTATAAGATACTTACCTCAGTAAAGGTTATACTTTCTGAATGTGCTGATGTTATATCTTTCTTATAGAGAAGGAAGCTGAGACTCAGAAATTCTATGACATAGTTAATATAAAGGGATTTAGAATTATATTTATTGCTTGAGTTTAAATATTTGTTCTCTCCCTGTTTTGCATGTGTTCCTCAAAACATTTGTTTCTTTACCTGTAAAATGCAAATGATGATAGCATCTGCCTCGTCGAGTTGTTGGAATAGTCAATACTAAATAAGTTAATATGTGTAAAGTGTTTAGCACAGTGCCTAACATTTCATGGGCTCTCAAGAATTGTAAGTTATTATTGTTGCCCAAATTTATGCAAGTCACCGAGCCAAGGCTCGATCCCTTTCATTTTGACCAGCTCCCCTATAGTATTTCTAAACTAGAGCAATTACTTTAACCCCTTGCATAGTTTCAATAGTTGATGTATTGCAAAATGTCAAACTTCATAAGGTAGTAGAAACACTAACAAGCTGTAGGGCTATTTAGCTATTTCTGATGAAAATCAGCATTTTAGTAAAGACACAGGTTTTTTTCCCCCTTGATCGCAAAAGAAATGAATTCAGTATTTTCCACTTTGTGATACTGAATATTTTTAATTATTTCAAGTTTTGCACCCTGTAAATGAAGCTTAAACTGTAGATCTTACTCAATAGTCTGTCATCTATATCCCTGTGTACCCTATTTACTAAAGTACACACAGTAATAAAGAAGATATGGTAGTTTTTATATTTATTGTTTGCCTTTTTACTTTCAAATGGAAATCCAAGTCAAATAAAAGTGTGTATCATATACAGTGCTTGGCACAATGTAAGATATCAGGTATGTTTTGTTTCACCTTAGCAAAATGTACTTCTACCTGGGTCAACTAGGTACCTTCCTATGTGGTAAAATTTAGTGCAGCAAAAATCCCCAGCTACATATGAATGACTGCATGGTGGGTGGCTTTAGGGAAATGTTTGTTTGGATTGGAATTCCCAAAGAGCCGAATTTGTTAGGCAGTTAACATATGCCATTGCCTCTAGAAGGCCACAATAAGCCACTCTCCTTGACATGTAGGCGTCGGTAAAATGCTTTAACTACATGGGTACAGTTCATTAGGTAACATTTTGAGACATGGTAAGCTGAACTACTGGGGACATTTTTTCAGAAAAACAAAGGAAGAAGAAGAAAGTGACAAGCCAGAGAGTGTAGGCTATGTCAGTCTGTCCTTGGTTTTAGGAAATAAACTTAAAAAGGGCAGTGAGATAAGATGGGGTTCAAACTTCAGCATCTTCAGTTTTAGTTAGGCGGTGGCTTCTTCTTATTACATGATTTCTGGGGTCTCTGAGGAGGTGAAGAGCTCAGATTATTCCTTTCTGACCACAAACAACCATCCTGTACTCACATTATAATGCTGCCCTTACTTTCTCTCTTCCTCACCTTGGAAATCTAGTACATTTCCAAGAGAATGAGGGAAGTCAAATTTATGGTGAGTGACAACATTTTCAAGAAAAGCTTCATGTTGTTTCAAAAATTTGAAGACTGCTTTAGAAGGCCAGAAGCATTACGGGGCTGCTCTGCAACTTCATACAGTAAAGTGGTTTGACACCAGTTGTACAGATCATCATACTAAAAATAAATCTCTACTACGTAGCTTTCCCCACATAAATCATAGTAAAACCCATTGTCATGTCTGAGTTGACTTCTAAATAAACTTAATGTAATAACTAAGAAATATTTTCACTTTAAAATGACTCCTTTCATGCAGTGGCCCCCACACCCCCATTAATTTTCCCTTTTCCGTGTGTTTCCTCCCCAGATCATAATGGGAGTGATCCTGCTCTATAATTTACTGGGGTCGAGCGCATTAGTCGGTGCAGCTGTCATTGTGCTCCTCGCGCCAATTCAGTACTTCATCGCCACAAAGTTGGCAGAAGCTCAGAAGAGCACTCTTGTAAGTACCGTCTTTGGGAAATGTCATTAGGAAAATCTCATGCTGTTTTATTTTTAAATTGTAGGAAATGAATACATACCACTTGGGATTATTTGGAAATCATTGTATTTCATTTCAGTTCTTACGCAGTGAATATGTATTTTCTGTATTACCAAGTAATTTTTAAAAGTGGTTTGAAATTTAAGACCTGATGATTTTAGACTCAAAATACCAAAATCACAGTTCCTGATGTTTTTAAGTGCCATGAGGTAGTGAGGCTTTGGGTCTTCTTCTAGATCACTTGCCTAGAGAACACGCGTCAGTGTACTTTGAGGCCATTGGATGTCAGTTATTAACATGGAGAAATGGAGAAGAAGCAAATGAAGGATCAGGTTTAGTGCTTCTGAAATTCAATTTCCATAGGGTTGAATCAAACCACATGATGATCTGTGGAGTTACATTAAAATGTTTCAGTGGCAGCTGCTCTGGCCAAATATGTTCATGCTCAACCTAGCAAGCAAGTAAAAGACAAATTATTGACTCTTTTTTGGCTGCAATATGCCGTGAAAACATTTTATCTGAGCAAGACTTGGCATCTTTTAAAGAAATATTTACAAATAATAAAATTGTGGACAGCATGCTTAGAAATAAAGTTTGAATGAATATGAGCAAAGTTGTCTATCTATAAATCAGGCATAAAATATAGGGATGCTGTCATTGATGGAATTGTTTCCCAAGGTAGCATTTGACAGTGACTGGCAAGCTGCATGTCACACAAGTGATTTCTATCAATTATTTTCCTGCGGCCTCTGATGAGGTTATTCATTATTTTTGTCTGAGCCTTCCACCCTCTGTCTCAGGACATGAATACAGAGAGATGTAGAAGAGGGCACGAAGTGGAGACACCACCACCCTCAGATGCTTTCACTTAGCCTTTCACCCAGCATTCATTTACTCATGAACAGTCATTTGATAGGCATTGAAGACCCTGGAAATACAAAATGATGAATAAAAAAGAAGGCTATTTGCTTGTTTTGCTTCCTTCTAGCTACCTTTTGCCATTTTACAGCCCCTTTGATAGTTCACAGATCATATGATGCCTTACTAGTCATTCTAAGTGAGTATTTGGTGGTAGAGGAAGCTGAAACAGTTAACCAAATTGAGGCTCTTGTATCTGCAACAAATCTCTTTACAGTTATTCCAAGTCGGTAGTAATCAGTAAATCTAATGTGGGCCTTAAACAAGAGCTTATAAAAAAGTACTATGTAGAAATCTCTTGAACTTAAAGGTGATAGGCTTGGTTTCAATAATTGTATTGTAAAGACACAATGTGAACACACACAACAGTGTATCCTCACATTCCTGAATGAGAAGCAAACGAACTTTTCTTAAATTCATTGTTTCTCTTTTTAATATGGGAGCTGATGCTGAGAGGAGAATGAAATGATTTAGATACTAAAAGGAAGCCTTTGGAAGTCTATCAACCCCCCTCCTCACCAAAAAAAAATATATGTGTGCACACACAATCAGTAGACAGTCAAGAAAATCATGTCAAATTGTCAAGAAACTGCTTTTATTTAAACCAAAGCAACAGATACATAAAAGTTGTCAGGTGGGAAGAAATCTGAGGTCATCTGATTCAACTCTTCATTTCAAAGTGGGAGGCTAAAGCCCTGAGAGTTCACTTCTCCCAGGTGGTTCACAGCCATAATAATTAGTGGGAGAACCATGCAGCAATCAAGGTCACCATCATCGTTGTCTATCGCATGGCCCTGCCTCTTTGATTCACTTGGATATAGCTTGCATTGTGTTTTTATTTTGTTGTTTTATAGGATTATTCCACCGAGAGACTGAAGAAAACAAATGAAATATTGAAAGGCATCAAACTTCTGAAGTTGTATGCCTGGGAGCACATCTTTTGCAAAAGTGTGGAAGAAACAAGAATGAAAGAACTATCCAGTCTCAAAACCTTTGCCCTTTATACATCACTCTCCAGTAAGTTGCTTTTGCTCTAAGGACTGCCAAAAAATAAAGATAAAAATTCATCGTCTGTTTAGTTTTAATTGAGACATTCTAGTCATCAGAGGAAGCCCATTTATTTTCCATGTATGTACTGTCCGATAGCTACTGGCCCCACGAGACAATTAAAATTAAAGAGTAAAGTTAGCACAGGCTTAGAATCAAGTAGACCTGAGTTTGATTCTCTGCAAGTTGTGATCCTTTGCCACGTTACTTTACATCTGAAATCCTGGGTTTCTTCATCTGTAAGATGGGGATGGCGATGGCAGTGGTATAGGCAATTGAAACCCTCTTATCAGTTACAGTTAGGAAGGATGGGGTTTTTCAGTAAAAATCTGTGTGTATAAATTCATTTGATTGTATTTACTATTGACCGTCTTATTCCCAAAGACCTTGAAAAATTACCTGCAGTTGTCTTGCCTGACTCTTTGGAGCTTATGATGTTACATTTTCTTAAAGATTGTATTTGAAGTGCCATTTTTGAATATTGAGGAGAAATAATGTCGACATTTCCAAGGGAAAGAAACCAAACTACATTCATGTAAAACCTTCTTTTCCAATAATACATTTTCAAGAACTTTTAAATACAGAGCACATTTATCCTCAACTCTAATTTTTCAAAAATAATTATTACAAAAATTGGTTTTGTTCTGAAAGAGTGACACTAAGTACTCTCAAGAATAATGAATTCATTAGTACAATTATTATGAACTTAGCCAAAATACTGCCATTAATATTTGATTTGGTTTATGTGTCAGTTTTGTTCATCTCTATTGTCCCCAAGACTTTTAACAACTTACAGTTTTGGAGGTTTATATATTGTTTCCTCTTTAATTCTAAACTAGTCTTTAGAGATAATAAATACTTCTTTTGTGAAATGATGCAGAGAAAATATTTGGTGTATATAGCTCATTATTTTAGCCCTAACGTTTTAGAAAGGAAATGGGAATTTGTCTTCCAGCTGTGCACCACTACTAATATGGTGTCAGAATGCTAGAAGATGAAATGATGATTATCCACTTATATATATAATAAAGCTTAAAGCTAGCCCCCACAATACATTCCTCTCTGCAGTGGACTGAAATTCTCATAGGGAGGATGGATGCAGCCAGAAATAATGATCTGAATGATGATGAAACTACTACTACTGCTACTGCTAGCAACAAAAATATATTCAGATACTCAACCAATTATTGCCTTGAGTGGCTTTACATATATCATCTCATTTAATCCTTGCAATGACCCAATAATTTAGTTTCTATTAACTCAATTTTAAAAATTTAAAGGCTCAGTTGGAGAGAGCTTAAGTAACTTGAACTTCTGCCGAATCATCCCACTACTAAAAAGCAGGGGTGGGTTGTTAACCCAGTTTGTCTCCGGACGTGAGATTTTGGGGACACACAAGGTCATCATAGTGGCGGGGGAAAAAGTCACGAAGGTAAAAGTACATGATGACGTATCTGTGATAGGCAGCAGAAATTCATGAGTCATGAGTGGAATGTTCAAGTTAGACCATTTTCAAATTTTATGATTTGGGTTAGTACTATGTTCTTGGTGGTTAAGAACTTGAACTAAGCCACACCTGGACCTGCAAAAGTGCCAGCTGATTCTGTGTTCACTGGCAGGGACAGTTCATGAGAGGGGATCATGAGAGCTGACAATGATTTTGGGGGTGGACTCTCTCCTGATGTCAAGAAAACCAGGTTTTAGTTCTCATTGTGCCATTGTCTGGCTCTGTTAACAATAACTCATTTTAATCCTTTGGTCCTCAGCCCTTAAATGCTGTGCTTTATAAGAAATATAATTACAAATCATCAACTTGGCTTTTCATTTGTACTACAACTTCCAAATCCTTGTATTTTAGCCTAGAGTATAAGTTTTTCTTGGTTCATCTATGCTTATCATGTTTCCCAAACAATAGTGCAGTGTATTCCTGGAGAGATATTTAAGCAAGCAGAGGGTTCAGGGTATAAAGTTATTAAGCAAAAGGTCACTGAGTGAAAATTAATGTCACTGTTGAAGAACTTGAAACGATGTCAAATTCTTGTTTTTAATCTGTACAATAACCCAATTTTCATATATTCTTGTTAGCTTTGTAGACCAAACAAAATACAGATTGTAAGTACTCTCAATATTTGTTAAATTCTAATGTTTTGCATCATTCAAGGGTTATTTTATGTGAATTTTGCTCTTTGTAACAAATCACAAAGAATATTTTTTTTCAATAAGGAAAAACATTTTCTGGTTAAGACTAATGGGTAGGAGCTCATACAACTGCAAACAAGAAAATACCCACTGGGAAATGTTTATAGACTCCAGACAAGATGTTATTTAATGTGCTTGGTCCTTCCTGTCCTCAAGGAAAGTTAAAGTAATAATTGATGACTAATTAAAGTTACTGAAAATGTTTCACAGTTCAGTGACACTAATGTATTGCATTTCTTTCCACAGTCTTCATGAATGCAGCGATTCCCATAGCAGCCGTTCTCGCTGTAAGGCATTTTTTCTTTTCAGACGTAGGATGAAGTCAGTGTTTAGAAATAATTTATGAACACGAATGTGTGGGTGGTAATAAATATTACCTCACCTGTGCCAGTTTTTTCTTAGCAATCTCCGTTGCAATAGTTCTAGTCCATGGTTTCTCAACTGTGGCACTTCAGGACATTTTGGCTCAGAGAATTCTTTGTCGTAAGGGCCTGGTTTGAGTATTAGGATGTTTAACAGCATTCCTGGCTTCTACCTATTAGATGCCAGCAAAATCCTCTTCCCCACCCACCCCCACACCCCCCAGTCCAAGGCATGACAATAAAAAATATCCCGGAACATGGCCAAATGTGCCCTGGGAGCAGCTTTACCCGTAGTTGCAAGCTCATTGCTCTGATCCCCATAACCTGGTTCCCAGACATTCTTACAACAGGATGGTGTAAGCTCAACAACCAGGAAACATTAAATAATTACATTATATTTCAAACTTATATTACAAACCCAAGAGCTGGTAGTATATTTAGAAATATAAATATGTCTGCATTGGACCCCAATGTTGGCAGTTTTAGCAAAGGTCCACAATAAGGACCTGAAAACAATGGAATGTTTTCTTTTTCTCTCAGAAAGTGTAGTTTTGGTTGCAGAGATCCTGGCTGGTTGTTAAGAACTCTGGTTCCTCCTCACTGTTCCTTTCCCTACTGGGCAATTTAACAGATGTCAAGTTACTAATTTGTAAACAGAATCTGGTTTGCCCTTTTCATGTGTTTGCTGCTAGAATGAATGTAAACCATTAAGTATTCTACCAATAGCAAGTATATTTTTCATAGGGAGTACTTTGGGGGCTGTAACTGTTTTCATAGTTGCATTGGACATCTCGGCAGAGCAGGACATACTAGGTCTGTAAAGTCGCATGCAAGCATTTGTGCAGGTTTCTCCAGCTTTCTGAAGAAACTCTTTCTCTGTGCAGACGTTTGTGACCCATGCGTACGCCAGTGGGAATAGCCTGAAACCTGCGGAGGCCTTTGCTTCGCTGTCTCTCTTTCACATCCTGGTCACCCCGTTGTTCCTGCTGTCCACCGTGGTCAGGTTTGCAGTGAAAGCCATCATAAGGTATGCCCTGGAGTGTTTGGATTTCTTTGCTTGGTGACAAAAAAAACATGCTTGTAGTAGTAAATTCAAAAAAATGTAAAAACAGCAAAATCACTGTCCAGAGATAACCATGGTTAAAATGTTTGGTATGCTGACTTTTATTATTTTATTTATTTCATATAAAAATAATTATTCTAAAATAGAATCTTGAATGTATGTAGTTTTTGACTCTTGTTTTACTTATGGTTTTTATTATTTTCTCCCTCATTTTGATCATTACCCATGTTTACTGGCTATGTGACATTTATTATAATTTATTTATTGACTACCTGCTTATTGGGTATTTAGAGTGTTTTGTTTTCTCCCTAACATAAATAATATATATATAACATTGAGGTAAACAACTTTGTTTACCTTCTGATTATTTTCTTAAGTTAGATTAGAAGTGGGAATACTTGTACTAATAGTATGGACATTTTTAAGGTCCTTGATGAATATGCCTGTGTTGTTTTCCATTGAAGGAGTGGGTCAAAAGGTACACATATTTGTAAGATTTTTTATGATTGGAGTCATGTTTTGCGGTGAAGGTGAATCAGCTTATGCCTCAGTAACATTAACATAACACTGTAATCTAAAAAAAGAATTCCAGGCTCACAGTTTTTGCAAAAGGAAAGACTTGATAACAGCTCAGTGTTTTGTTCATTTTAAATGTGCTTCTGTAATGTTGCTACCCAGTGTAGACTTGTCTCAGGCTCACCATGGCCCACAGTGTACAACTACGGCAATAGATATATGATCATGACCATTTCCCCACCATTTTTACTCATATTATATAATACATGTTACCAAACTACATATGTTATATGTCAGTGTACGTGCCATAGTCTACCATGTATCAGTCCTTATTATAAACAAGACCATCTTCTTAAAGTAGTATTTTGCTTTTTTACTACAAGATCTTGTAAACTTTATAGATCATCAGTGTATTTATATCTGGCCTTTGAAAGAAATGCCAAGATGTTTCAATACCAAAGGAAAATTGGAAAAAACTGTGGTCTTAAATGTACAGAGTATGGTGTTAGCATTGACAGCAATGTAGAATATCTTTTGTAATGTAGCTAATTTTTCCCCATGTCTATATATTACTAAGAAAAGTAATATTTAAAATATAATCTTGGGTTTTAGGCAATAATTTATATTAGCTTAACCACATCTTCCTACTAAATAACTTTAAAATGTGTAAATATTATCTTATTATAAAACAAGTGCTGATTGGTTACAATAGTATCATAACATGATTTCAGTCCCATCCTGTAAGATATGCTATTAATAGCCAATTCTGGAGCTGAGTTTAAAGCTCAGGCCTTCCGGTCTCATCTGCCCTAACTTTCTTTTCTTATTGTTCTGCCTTTTGAAACACTTGCACAGATCACTGACTGATTTTTGTAGCACCACTTCCAAATTAGGCAGTGCTCTGGAAGGGAAGCTACTTCAAACACTAAAATTGATAAATGGCCAGAGTCTGCTATTTTGGTCCTTATTTTCATTTTCTCCATTTAATAGCTGTCCCTCTCACAGTTGTGTTTTAAGTTGAAATTTGACTTTGTACTGCTCTCAGTGAAGACAGAAAGTGGTTGATAACTTACACTGGATATACTCTGAAATCAGGAGGTGACAAAGCACCGAAAGAATGTTAAGAGTTGATATGAAAATCAAAAAAGGAAAAAACAAAAAATCTAGTAGTGTCCTCAAGTCCACAGCATAAAATTGTGCTGTAGTAAATCCTGGTTAGTTTGAGGGTTGATAATATTCCCTGTGTATTTCTGTGTAGTACTCTCTCTTCCCGATGTCCCGGGGAACAGGCATTTGCTAGTTTGATAAAGACCAGTCTGTTTTCAGGGCTCAGCTCCAGATTTCCCAAGCCATAGGCCAAATGGAGTCTGCTTACAAAAACTTCTCTAAAATGAATTTCCGTGGTTGATTTGTGGGTCCTACAGAGATGAGCAGTCAACAGAGAGGCCAGTGCTTTTTCCCATTGCGTGCTGGTTCTGGGAACCCAGTTGAGCACTTTCCCATTGTTGACTGACTGGGCTCGGCATATTCTGTGCCTGGGAACCCGTGACCAATCTTCGATGCCAGTTGGCCCACAACAGCCTGTTTATAATCAGAGACTTAGGTCAGCTGGTTTCGAAGTTTCGTCTTTAGGACTGTGGAAGTCGTAAGTTCTTCGTGCATTCTTAAATGCATTCAGAAATTTGGTGGGTTAGAGTGGGGTGCAGCATACTCCCCAACTGTGTTACCCATATGTGTAGAGACTTATAAACGTCTCTACTGTAGGAAATTTCCATGCCACGTAAAATTCTTTGCTATGGGGGATTCTATACTTTCCTTTAAAAATGTTTAGCTTGTTAGACAAAATTTCTTCACATTGCTCAATGGGTGACCCCATGGATACATAATAAAATGGGAGAGAGAGGCACTTATGTTCCAGGTCATCTCTTCATGACCCCTGGACTCCATAGCATTTGAGCTCTCTGGACATTTTATAATGATGTGTTCCAGTCTACATTTGCAAAACAGAGCGAGATGTGAAGAAAAGTATTATCTTAAATAAATCATTTGAATAAGAGTGATTTTTCAGGATGTTCTTCTCAGTTCTCCACTTTGTTATATTTATAAGAAAGTAATTTATGTGTTTTGCTCTTCTAGAGGAAACTTGAAGTTCATATGTTGCATCCTTCATAAATAATTTGAGTTTAGGTTTCTGTTATTTGATGTATAATGCAACATGTAGGTCCAAAGATGTTATTTGCCAAGGGAAAAATGAGCAAAAAGAATACTCTGCTTTGTGGAAAATAACTTTGTGTCTCTTGTCTCAAGTACCTCCTAAAGGAATGTATGCTTGGCTTGTCTATTGCAATTGCCTTTAATCAAGTAAATTGTTACTGATATTTTTTGTAGAGCAGATATCCACTTTGATCTGGTGCCCATTTTACAAAAACATCAGGAAAAATTACAAGAAAAACATGTAACTGTCAGCCACAAAAAGAATTATTCCCAACTAATGCGATACCTGTACGAGGTTACTCAAGCTGTGTGTAAGAACTCAAAGTGAAACTGGAAAAATGAGAAAATAACAAGTGTAATTAAAACCTTAAATATGTTTGTAAATTATCTAAATATATGGGGAATTAATAAAATACTGACTAATAAAGATAATGGAAGCAGGATAGAAAATTGGTGTGTCTCAAATGTGCCTGCTTGTAAACCCAGGCACTGCCATGGAACACTCATTGTTTAACCTTACATTCATTAGTGTCTCTGTACCTCAACTTCCTCACTTATCAGATGGGCACAGTAAGAGCTCCTGCTTATGGTGGTTGAAGTAATTAAGGAGATGATACACAAAAAGTATATTTTTAAAAATCCCCATTTTACCAATTCACCAACATCTTACTAATTTTCATTCCATACCTCAGAGAGAGATTTCTGTAGGTCTACATGCATTTGTTAACACTTTGGGTGCATTGCTGGGCACTAGGGATTGTGAAGAGGAAAGGTAGCGTGAAATTCACAGGGAGTTCACAGTCTAGTTAAAGAGGCGAAGAGAGGAAGCTAATGACAATACAATGCCTTATGCTGTTACAGAGCTCTACACAGAACGCCAGGGCCCCACATGGGGAACATTGAACGTCATCAAAAGAGGAGGCAGATAGTCTGGTCAGTGAAGGTTTAAAGGAGACAGTGGATCCCTCGTGGGATCTTAAAAAAATTAGTAAGACTCAGTTATTTGAAGAAAAAGAAAAAAACATGTTCTATGTAAGGAAGCAGCATAAGCAAGAGGAAAAGGTGGATAAGTAGGTCTCAGTATATTTAGTGCAGTGAAAGTGGTTGAGTGTAGTTGGGGAAACAATCTGATGTGGAGAGAGGGGATGAGGCTTGCAGATGATGCTAAGGATGCTAAAAGGCAAGGGGTGTCATTTGTTATTTTAAAAAAAGAATTGTTGTGTGAACAGATTTGGATTTTTTAAATATAAGCCTGGCAGCATGGTGGAAATTACTTCACCCTTGGTCAGGATTCATGCATTTGTCGTAATTGTTTTTCCTCTGATTTCTGAAAGGACCTCATATGAACAGGAAATGCTTTTAGTATGACCCATTTATTCATTCACCAGACATTTCTTGAGGAATTATTATGCTATATCTTTGGCATAGGTAGATTCTGAAGATGAAAATCTTTGCTCTTAAGGTGTTCACAGTCTAATGGGACAGATGGACAATAAACAAACAATGACAAAACAGCAATGCAGGGAACCCTCAGCCAGAAAGCCTAGAATGAAGGAAGCAGGGGAGGGACAAGGAAGAGGAAATTCAGGGAAGGGTTAGTGTTGGGTCCTCCAGTGTTCATTGTAGTTGGTGTTCCGAATGGGGAGTGTTATAAAGAGAAAAGAAAGCTCTCCCATACCCCAAGTATGCTCAGAGACCTTGTTTCTCCTTATTCAGCAGTATTGGAGCTCAGCAATTCCATAAAATCTTCAGTAAGATTTGCATGTGTACTAGAAAAGTGAAGTGGAGAATTCAAGCAACTGACTTTACTTAAGTGCCTGAATCATTGATTTATTCCTTCTTTGATTTATTCAACAAACATTCTTGAGTAATGTGCGCCAGGAGCTGCTGGACTTAGAGTTACTGAGGCAAATGAGCTTGGCCCTGTACTTTCCTTGTGAAGGAGGACATAGTGTGAGATCGTATGAGGTAGTCCTTTGATTGATGAAGCTGTGCTTCTTAAAACCCAGTGTCTTCAAAACATTAGGAACAGAATGACCATTAAAATCTATAAAAGTAAAGAAAGTCTTTTACTACTACTTTTAAGGTGTAGCTTAAATGTCCTCATCACAAAAAACAATTTTGTAATTGTGTATGGTGATGGATGTAACTAGACTTGTAGGATAATTTTGAAATATACAGAAATATCACATTATCATGTTGTATACCTGAAGTTAATATAACATTACATATCAGTCATACTTCAATTAAAAAATAAAGAGAATAATGCCATGTACAATGAGTAAAATGCCATTGTGTAAGGCATTTCTAATGGTCAGGCTTTGCTGCAAAGACTCAAAAAGGGTACACAGATGGAAGCTCTTTTTCTTTTGGGGGTCTGAAATTCTTTTTCTGAAGTTGGAGTAAAATACATAACATATATTTACCATTTAAACTGTTTTAAGTGTACAGTTCAGTGGCATTAAGTACATTTACACTGTTGTGCAACCATCACCACTGTGCGTCTCCAGACCTTTTTACCTCCTCAGATCAAAACTCTACACTCATTAAACAATACCTTCCCACTCACCTCTCTCTCTAGTCCCTGGTGACCACCACTGACTTTCTGTTTCTGTGATTTGACTATTCTAGGTATCTCATACAAGTGGAATCATACAACAATTGGTTTGTGTGTGTGTGTGCCTGGCTAATTTTACTTAGCATAGTATCTTCAAGGTTTATCTATGTTTCTACAACAGTAATATGTTTAACTGAGTCAAGAATTCCAGAAATGGACAACAGGATAGGGATTGATTGGAGGAGCACGGGGTGGGTGGGGTGGGGGACAGCAATGGGGCAAATTGAGACAGTTGTAATTGAACAACAATAGAAAAAAAAGGAGAATTCTGGAACTATGGTGCAGCCACTGTGGGGAAGTATGGCAGTTCCTCAAAAAATATCACATAGGATTATCATATCATGCAGCAATTCCACTTCTGGGTATATACCCAAAAGAATTAAAAGTAGGGACTTGAATAGATATTTGTATACCTGAGTTCATGGCAGCATTATTCACAATAGCCAGAAGGTGGAAACAACCCAAGTGTCCATAAATGGATGAATAAATAAACAAATTGTGGCATATATGTACAATGGAATATTATTCAGCCAAAGCTCTTCTTAAACAATTACCTCTTTTAGTTGCCTGAAAATATAATTTGGAAGTTAACATTAGATTGTCCCAATGAATTTTATCTACCTTTATGTTTTCAATGGAAGGAAGTAGTATGTAAGGATAAAGGACTGGAAGTTCACGGGCAAAAGACTGAATTAAATTTAGTTTTCTTCAATTTACTCTCTGCCACAAAATCAAACTAGTCAGATCTATCTGGAAGCACTTAACTTGACTATAACCTCAAATGCAAAAAATTAAAAGAAAACTGTTTCAAATATATGTTTTCTAGTATCTTACCAAAGGCAGTGTCTTCGCTGTGGTTGAAGCTGCATGTGCCGAGCTAGTTTGTCCCATTCTAGAATGTGAAAAGGAACATTTCTCTTGCAACTTCACAGTTTTCTGTAGTGTATTATTTTATTGATAGGAGGATGTTGTCAAGTCATGTTGCTATTTTCTGTGACTCTGTTTTTGCTTGTAATCCTGTGTCATTGGTTTGAAAAGTTAGAAAGGGAGGGACAGGAGGACCAAGTTTTGTGCTCAGCCTAAGGAGACCATAATAAACACTGTTTGCAAACCAGCCTTTTGAAGCAGGGCTTCTCACACTGTAATGTGCTTATGAAGTCTCTCCAGATCTTGTTGAAATGTATATATTGATTAAGTAGATCTTGGGTGGAGCCTGAGATTCTCTGTTTCTAGTCAAATTGCAGGTGAGGCTGACGCAGCTGGTCCTTGGCCAACACTTTAAATACCTGCTCTCTAGAGGGCCCTCCCCTTACCAGGTGCAGCAAATACGTGTAATATGTGGTGCTTCCAGAGAGCACCAGTGGCTGTGGACCCCAGATCTGTGTGTTCACACCAAATGCTCTTAGATTGCTTACCTTCTCTGAATCTTATTTCTCCTCATTTGTAAAAGTGGCATAATGAATACTTCCCTCATTGTATTATTGTTTTTAACCACTCTGTTTCAAGTTCCTCTCCAACTCTACTATTTTTGACAATGAATACAATTGCAAAAAAAATAGTGCAAAAGAAATTTGACTAATTTAAGGTACCTGAATGGCTCTGGTTTTTCTGAGATTTTTCCTGCTTTTACCACTAAAAGTTCTAGTTCCTGGGAATCCATCATTCCTGAGCAATTTAGGATGCTTGTTCATTTGAGCTAAACTTCCAGCTTGTCTTGAGACATGATGCTCAGAGCTGCTTGCCCAACAGGGTAATGAGAGGGGAAGAGTTTATGTAAGTCCAACTTCATTGTCTGTAGTCTTATTTTTAACCCTCTATGTTTATTTGCTTTCTGCAGCGTTCAAAAGTTGAATGAGTTTCTCTTGAGTGATGAGATTGGTGATGACAGCTGGCGAACTGGTGAAGGTTCTCTTCCTTTTGAGTCCTGTAAGAAACACACTGGAGTTGTAAGTGCTTTTTCTTGCCATAGAAACTGTGAATAGGGAATAGCCCCTAGAATGGATGACTTAAAATGGGTGCAATTGGAAGAAATCGTAAGCTTTACTTTCATCTATATGAAGAATGATTGCCACCCGCTTCTGTAACAAACCTCACAAATCTAAAATCATCAATAAATGTATAAGGCTTGTCTTTGTAAATCATCAAAGGATTATCCCAAGAGACTTAACACATTTTATAACCATCTATTTTTTATGTTTCAAATACACTTGACATTCAATATTATATTAGTTTTAGGTGTACAGCATAATGGGTAGACATTTATATAACTTACAAAGTGATCCCCTGATAAGTCTAGTAACCACCTGGCCCCATACATAGTTCTTACAATATTGTTGATTGTACTTCCTATGCTGTACTTTATATCACCAAGGCAGCACCTGTTCGATTCAAGCAGAAAGAGGTTGTACAACCAGGCTTTAGCTAAAAATAATATAAAGTCAGCTTATAACTCATGAACCATATTCTTATAGTATTTTTTAGCTATATTATACTTTTTAACTGAAAAAGTGCTTTCTGATGCATTGTCTTTTGACTTACCTGTTTTTATTTTTCAGATTAGTATGTTCACTTTCCATGTTATATGGCTTGAATAAAGTCGGAGAATTAGGAAGTGACAGAGCCAGAATTAAAACTTGAATGAATTTTATTCACCTATTGCACCATTTTACCCACCTACTGCACAAATACTTACTCAGGATATATCAATACATGGGGGCTGGAAATACAGTCAGTATTATTTTGTCATGTACTACATGTAATCTGACATGGATTATGTACTGTATTTGCCTTTGTCTCCAGACTTATTGACTACCCTGTATTTCATGCCAGGTCCTATAGATGTAGCAGTGACCAAGGCAGACAGGATCCTTCTTGTCACAGAGTTTGCTTCCTTGAGGCAGGAGTCAGATGAAAAACAAGTGAAAAATGAGATAACTTTGTTGTAGAAAGAAAATAAAAATATATAGAGAGAGTGATTGGGATACTCAAAGCAGGGTGGTCATTTCCCAAGAGACCCCTTCAAGAAGCTGACATTTGAACTGATAACTGAATGAAGAGTAAGTATTTGGGCTGCAGCAATCTGGGAAGAGAGCATTTCAGGCACAGAACTAGCAGATGCAAAGACCCTGAGATGAGAAATAATTTGATGTGTTCAAGAAACAGAGGAGCACTATGGTGGAGCCTGGTGAAGAAGGGAGAGAAAGGACAAAATAAGAACAACGATTAAGAGTCTTGTAGATCATGGAAAGAATCTGCATTTTATTACCATGCAACAGGAAACCACTGGAGAGCTTCAAAGTAGGCACTGATATAATTTTGTTTATATTTTTAAAATGCCACTTTGGCTACTGGGTGGAAAGTAGTCAGTGGGGATAAGCATTGAACAGATAGATCATTAAAGAGGTTGTTATAACATAGGCAAGAAATGATGGTTAGAATTAGTTTTTATTACAATTTCAGTGGACATTGTGAGGAAGTGATCAAATTCAACATACATTTTTTTAGATTGAGCTGACAAAGACTTGCTAGTAGATCGGATGGCAGGGATAAGGGGAAAAGAGGACTCAAGGATATCAGGTTATTGGCTTGACTGCTAGGTAGATGGAACCATTAACTGATATAGGGAGGCTGAGGAATAAGTAGGTTTATATTGAGGTGGAATCAAGAGGTATATTTTGCACCTGATAATCTTGAGATATATATTGACATCCAAGAAGAGAAATCAGCCATTAAATAATAGTATTTAAAGCAATAGAACTCAATAGAATTCTTGAGAGGTGTATAAAAAATTCTTGTCTTAAAAGTAATATGTATATTTTATAAGAGTAAAATAGAAAGACGTTATTCTAAAATGAGTTATGTTAATATTATTCATGTTACTGTTAGAAAAAAATACGAATGCACTCACCATTTATGTAACCTCCCCAAAAAGCAAAACCCTATAACATGCAATCTCCTGACTGGAATTGATTGAGGCTTGGAAAGCCTTTATCAGAAGTCATTCAATATTAAATTTTTCTTCACATCATGTTTAACAATCCTGAAAACAGTTAAGATGAGCATTTGGCTATATTTAGGTTGTTTTTTTTTATTATTCTGCTTTTCCGAAGTTATTTTTACTCTCTGTTAAGGGATTTCATGGAGCAAGGGGAGTTTTTTCTGAGGAGGAACGACCACCTGAGCTTATGGACATAACGTCACAGTGCCTCAAAGTGCTCGATTGTTGTGTGGACATGGACACAAAGACAACAACATGTTGTAGAGTGTCTACACTTTGAGGCAGCAGGAAAGTCAAGCATTTGATTAGGACCAGCCTTGTCATACTTTGAATGGCAGGCAATGACCAAAGAACTTACTGGGTCAGGTTTCCAATACTGCCCGTGATCTTTCAGAGATGTGAGGATGAGCAGAGTGAGATGACCTCGAGAAAGGGGATGGAGGAGGTCAAGATTGTGGAGTCAAGGAAATTTGAAGAATCTTTTGTAGGAGATGAACATTAGAAGAAATATTGAACTGAGAAAAGATTTTTGGAAGGAAAAAAGAATCCCCTTCAAATGCATCCAATATCTTCAGGGTTATTGAAACCAGACTGGACTTCTGATGTCTTTCAGGGTCATTCATCACTGCTGATGGGCCAAACCACAAACGACAAACTTTTTAAAATGGAGTGAAAAAAGCTGTGCATTTGAAAATAACACTAATGGAGACTCCATCTTCAGAGCGCTTAAGATGCTGTGTCTGTAAAAGCTTAGAGTTAAGTGGTTTTGGCTGTAGAATCTCCACGGAGAATTAGTGACATTCTAGAGCCAAAGTCTCTTCAAATTACATCTGTGGAACTCCAACTCAAATCTCTGTCAACACATCTCCTCCTCCCACCCTCTCCTTAGTTTTGCGAAGAACATGAAGTCATTCCTTTTGGATCTCTGGGGGCAGTACTACTATAGAATTACTCTAGAAGACATTGAATATATGTGCTGGCATAGACCTGTCTTGTGTGGAAAATATACTTAGCTTAAATGTTAGTGACTTTCTGCAGCATCTCATACAATGTACTTCCAGGGTCATCTGTGAAGCTGTGAGAAGAAAAACAAAACTGAAATAAAATTTCATAGATACTCTTTTACTTTTTCAGTTGAAATACATTAAGTATTTTCTCTGTGACAGAACCACTGGTAGTTTTTTTTTTAGTGACTTTTTAATCTGTGAAATTATTTGCATGCAGCCTATTTCATTGTGTGATATTCAGTTGATACACCAATTGGTGGAAATTGGAAGAACAATATCTTGTTTGGATTAAGTTACTGGTTATTTGAGTACATTTCTAATTCTGATAGTAGAGTTCAATGGATATTTCAAAAAGCTAAACCTATAATTCCAGGCAAAAAAAAAGTTTCACAATTCTAGAACCCTTTGCTTTTATAGATAATTATCAGTTTTAAAGTGTATTAATATTTAGTCTCACAATCTCCATAAAGCAAGTAAAACAGATAATTATTTATGTTGAAATACTTGTTCATTTTGTCCTTAGGACAAAGTTTGAGCTTTTAAACTTTTCTATATTAGAGGCTTACAAAATTGAATTTTCTACCTTCTCTTTAGCCATTTATCTTTATCCCCTGAAATTAAACTCAAAATTGGAAAATAACAAACTTCTAGTTATGATCTAAGTTCATTAGAAGTATGTGAAGACTCTCCAGTTTCTGCCGGCATGTTCTTTATTACAGATGCTGTGGTCCGTTGACTGGAAACAATGCTCTAACATCTGAGAAAGACTAGATCGTTTTACAATGCTTGTGGATCTCCTTATGAAATGATACATGTTTGGTCAAACATATCCTAGATCTTTATGCTTTTTCTTCCTCCACACTGGGTCCTGAAGAGATGTTAGCCCAATCTGACTTAAGTGAGTGGATGAGAGTCAAAATTCTCATGATTCAGAGTGTAATAAAAAAGATACTGTTGGAACATTTACAGGCCTGATGGCCTAACAAGTGGAATCAGGTTTAACCTGAGTTAGTCTGTGTGCCTTTTGACACAACGCATGTTTTGTTTTGTTTTTATTGCCTTGGTATGTTCACCCAGATTGCTGGAGAAAAAAATATCTAAACCTAGTTTGGGGGTTGGCACTTCAACCTCCATTGTTTGCAAGTAGCGTAGCCTATCTTCGTATTTTCCTTTTTCTTAAAAAGCTGTGAATTAGATTTAAAATTGTAGCAGAACACATTTTTGTTATCATTTGCGGGTTTTGTTTTTTTTTTGAGGAAACCATTGAAATAGTTTAAATATGACATTTATTTTACTTGTTTCTTTTTCTTGGAATTCAAGTGGAGAAGGAGCAAAGTGAGTTCAGTAAAACCTGAATTTTTTCATAAAACTTCAATTTGTGTTCTTTCCCATTTGGAATGTAGCAGCCGAAAACTATAAACAGGAAACAGCCTGGGAGATATCACCTGGACAGCTATGAGCAATCAACAAGACGTCTACGTCCTGCAGAGACCGAGGATATTGCCATAAAGGTTATTCACTTCCTGGATTCTTACATGAATAGAAACATTTAAGCTACTACTTTATGGTGAAGCTCAGCAAACATGTCCTGAAATGTGTCTTTAAAGTCTCTTTACAATGATCACTAATCCTTATAACATTTTTAAAAAGATATCCTGATGAGTTCTTCCTTACCTTCCAACTGCAGTTTTGCCTCAGCAGTGTGTTTCAATAGCTTGAGAAGGAGCCTTTCTTCTGAATCTGCTTTAGAAGCTAGTATCTAATGTAATTCCTCTCATACTCATGTTTGTCTACCAAGTAAATTGATTTATAGAGAATACCAATATTATAAACCCAATTTTTAAGGAAATAAATGAAATAATAATTGTCTTCAACCAGGAAAAGTTTATACCGTGCTGCATGCATTCACCCAAGTTTCCAATATTGCCTTTGGTTAATGTTATACTCAGTCTTTGGTATGCTCGCCAGCACATGTGGTTTTGTAAACGGGCCACCAGAGGAACACAGGCTGAGGACTGATCGTTGGAATAAGCCCCAGGGAAGGGTCAGTGCTGTGCAAGGAGTGGAATACATGCTTGCAATAGCCAAGAGCCTCTGGACTTCGGAGCCACAGTAGTCCAGGAAACTAGCCCTTGAAAACTCGCTGCTTTAGCTGCTTCTGACTATCTAACTTCCTTCACTGTCCATCCAATCAAAGAATGAGAGAGGTTTGATGGATTGTAGAATAGAGCCAAGAGCTTAAATCTTCTCTCATTCCTTTTACCTGGCACAATACCTGTCCTACAATATGCTTACAATTGGAGCTAACATGTTAGTGGGTAGAATAAACCTCTGATAGCTCCACCTCTGCCATTAATTTGATGTGTGACTTTGGGGAAAATTACTTTGCCTCTCTGACCCATGGTCTGCCCATCTTGAGTTGGAGATGCCGTTTTAGTATGTTTGTGTTGAGGATAAAATATGTGACCTGTGAATTTTAAAGAGTTGTAGTGATTCTTAACATTGGGTGTACCTTAGAATAACCTAGAGATGTTTAAATATATATAAAATATATGGATATCATTTAAAAAATAATTCTAGTAATTTTCTAGGCAATTATAATGTATAAATAGGGTGTGAACTACTAGGCTATGAAAAAGTAGGTAATGAGAGACCAGAAAGGATCTCCTCTATGCTACAAGTTCTCATATATGCCGAACTAACAAACAAATGTATTAGTGTCTAAGAAAACAGGGTTACTTTTTTAACTCTCATTTTCTATTCAATGTAATAGGAATCTAAAAATATGTCTTTTTAGTGTGCCTTTTAGATTTGTTTTCATTTTAAGTGTAAAAATGGGAGGCCATCATTTTTTCTCAAAATTGACTTTACGAACCAAAGAAAAAAGGCCCCAAACCCTCTTTATCAGTGTCTTAGAGTCTGCTATGCCTCTGAATGGCCAAACAGTTCAAGCCCACCTTCAAGCCCAAATTATTGTTTATTCATGGTGGAAATTCCCAAATTGGAAATAACTCATTTATCTCTTTGAAATATTTTTATTGTGAAGTGCAACAGAAATTACATAAAACATATATGTACCATTAAATGAAAAACTAAACAGCTCTGAAGCCACCACCAAGCAAAGAATGTCGGCTCCCTCTGAGGTCCCCAACGTACACATTGCTGCTGTCTTTCATATCTCTTCCCTGGCCTCCCACCATTGTGGCTCCAGCGCTAACATGCTCAATACATGCACTTAAACACACTTGTATTCCTGCAAAATATGTAGCGTTGTCATGAGCATCAGTGTGCTTTCAGTTTACTGAGACACTTTATGACAGCCTGCCCCTGCTACCTGCACTGCTGTGTGCTGCAGCACGCATCACTGTTTTCCTTATCCCCTAGTGATGTGCGCTAGGCTTGTCTCCATCTTCCCTCTGTCGCAAATGCTACTGTGAGGATCATTTTTGCACCTACTCTGTTATGAACCTTTGCAGAGATTTATAGTGTTAGCTGCACTCCCCCACTTCCTTGAAGATTCAAGTATCTGTTTTTCATTTCATATTTTTACCTTAGTTGGTGCCAAGCTTGGACGTAATTTAAACTTTCAAGTGCACAGCCTGTCTCGTGTACCAGTTCAGATATCCCTTAAATCTATGGTTACTCCACATCCACAGCCTCACTTGTGTTTACACTTAGCCACCTCCTGGAGCTGCTGCTTCTCTGACATTTTCATCTCTATAGTAGCAGTCGGTCACTTACATCAGATCTGACCCTCCAGCTGTCCCAGGTACCTTCACTGTATCTGTTTTTAATGTCATCAAAACCTCCAGTAACTTGAGCCCTTTTCTTTTCTCCCAGTTCTTTAGCACCATTCTGTAGGCAGTCCAACCTTGAACCCCCTACAGTCTTATAAGCAGGCTGCTGAGTGTTGTGAAGAAAATGGCACAACTCTCCAAGTGGGCGTGGCCTCAGATTTATTATCTCCAACTCAGCTGACCCTCGGTAGTTCTTGGCAATTCCTTTGCGTGCCTCTCATCAGCATTATTTTCCAGAATCTACAGTAGCTCTTCAGCTCTTAGCACTCTCTTCCCACCTCCTATCTCTCTTCCACCCACTCTTTCTGCAGATAACCTTCACTCCCAATTCACTGATAGCATAAAGTTGTCATGTAGGGCCTCTCTCCATTCCATGCTGACCCTCTTCCAAACCATCTAACTTACAGCTCTTGTAGCTTCCTGTTTACTGCCTTAGAGAAAGAAGGATGCTTAGCCTCAGGTGGTGGCTGTATAATTTTGCTGAGCATTAATTGTCACTTAGGTAGGTACAGTATCTGAAACCCCTGTCGCAGCTACCTTTATTATTTCCACAATATGTTTCACAGTTTTCTGATCCTGCACTGATTCTTATTGTAGTTCTTTACCCAGAAATGCCTTCATTGAAGTTCAATATCTTTTCCAAAACTAGTTAAAAGAACTCTTCTTCTGTGGTTTTTTAAGCCACTTCACATATAAATAATTTTCTCTCTCTTCTGCTATTTTACTTATTGTCTGTTTATTTTGTCTGCTTACTACTTAGCTCATGCTGCCTTATGTTACACTTACGTCCATGGTTGTTTTACTCATCTAACAGCAAGCTTCATAGGGGTAAGGAGGGTGCATTATACCTTCTTTGTAGCCTATGTCAGTCCCAATACAGAACCTCACACATAGTGGGTGCTCAGAAAATTTGTAAAGCAATCAATAATTTAGCCTTCTTTGCACACTCTTTCCAGGATTAATTTCATGCCTATGTATGTGATGTATGTTTCATGCATAAATGCCATATATTTTATGAGCTAGAGAAAACCTACTTGGAAAAACAATCTAGCCTTTTCAAAAAAACTTTTTTACTCTTTAAGTTTTATTAAGATGTTTTTAGAGACATATTTACTAACAATTTAGACATCACCAATCTATTCTGCAAAATTAAAAAAATGTACTTAGAAATGTCATCATTTGTGGTTTTGAAACACAGTATTAATTGATAAGCAAGGTGTAGTCTCACTTTAATTTACTGAACTTTTCAAAATCTTTCCCTCCACTTATCTATTTCTATTCACCCTCTCAATTTTGGGTTCTGGTATACCTATTTTACCCTATTATTGTAACTATTACAACTATCAAGTCAACTTGAAGCCTGCTAAAAGAAATAGAATGCAAAAATAAAATAATAACAAAAAAAGCAATATATAGTTTTGGATGATTTTAAGTTCTTATGATCCTTGCTGGTTGTTGAGGTTTACACTCCCAAGCAGTGGTACCTCATTTCTGTGCTTTATTCCTCTACTCTATTTTTTTCTTTAAGTTCAATGAAAACAATGAATCCATATAGTTCAAGAAACTCATTTATTACAAAACCTTCTTCTTCATGTAACAATCATTTGTGCAGAATAATTTGTAGTTATTTCTGTTGCATCACCAGGATTCTGAGAATTGCCTGGTAGTGAGAAAACAATCAGTGAAGAGAGTTACTTGGTAAATATTTGGGGTGATTGCTTTTTAAGACTTCTCACAACAAAATGCCCAGTAATCCCAAATTTTCAGTATTCTTCATAATGTCACTAATTCAAAGACCCTCCTTTTACAATACTCCCATTCTCTTTTGTTTTTCGCCTGTACCTCTTAAATAGTTAGAGCTCTATAAGTTTACCACTATGTGTTCTTTCTTGTATTCAAAGTCTGTCAGTGCTTTAAAAAGAAAATTTATTTTAATTGCATTATTATTAACACTACATATTTATATAATTTTATAATTTAATTTTTATATCATATTTTCTAGGTCACAAATGGGTACTTTTCATGGGGCAGTGGTTTAGCTACGTTATCTGATATAAATATTCGAATCCCAACAGGTAAGAATCATTGGTTACTAATTTTTGTAATTGTTAATTATCACAACCATTGATTTTTCATGATAATTGAGCCTAATGAAAAGAAAGACAGAAGTTATTTATAATTATTTTATTTGCACCAGGGAGCTCATGACTGTCAGTATGGGAATGACTAGAAATAAGACTTGCCTTTTACTACTGAGTGTAGATTTTTGGACAGTGTCCAGATTAACTGTAATCAGTTCAGTTGTTGATTAGTCCTATTTAAATAATGGGGTTTCTCATTTTGTTTGAGAAATGATTTAAAGAAAGTGTAGATAAGGAAATTATTTTTTTTTATCCCTAATGAAGACTGATGACATTTTCAAGATATTTAAGGCCAAAATATCTAATATGTTCTATTCAAAATGTCTGGATAGTTGAATAGAAATATTTTTTGACTTCTCCTAATGGTCAGTAGTTTGGGATTTTCCTATTATACATGCAAGTCAATGTAAGAGATTGGAGAAGATATATTAATAACAGCTCAAGTCACTTACCCCAATTACTAGATTTACTCAAAACTGACTTTTTCTCCTGAATGAATTGAATAATAAAGTTAAAACTAATCTAGATACTTTAGGCAAATATTTCAATGTTTTGTTCACTAATTCCAGCTATTCTTATAGTTTGAAAAAAATAAATTAAGTTATATATCTTTTAATTTTTTTTCTTTTTTCAAAAAACTTATATTTCACAGAAGGGAGCTATTAGGAATACCTCATTGCCAGAGACCAAAGCTGAGCCATTGATTGTGAAACATCAGCCTTTTCTAAATGTATTTTGCTTTTATTTTATCAAGAAATTCTGTCTCATTCTGTTATATCCTTTGTTCATTTCTCTAGGTCAGTTAACCATGATTGTGGGCCAAGTGGGATGTGGGAAGTCATCTCTTCTCCTTGCCATCCTCGGTGAGATGCAGACACTGGAAGGAAAAGTTCACTGGAGCAAGTATGTGCATTTTAAATTGGTTCTTATTGCTCTGTCATATCTGATGATCTTCCAAGGGAAGAAATTAGAGCAATAGATTCCTATGCCAGGAATCTGAGAAATCACTCAGAAATAAGCAGTTATTTATGTATTTGTTTATGTATGTGTATATGTATATATTTACTTATTTAAATTTGTAGAACATTAAATGTCATAAATTAAGAATAAGAAAGCAATTATATAGAGATTTATAATAGTATAAACTAGTATGTGGCTGAGATAAAAGATTGAGATTATAAAGATAGATTTTTAGAGTTAAATGAAAATCAAAGAAATCAAAGAAATAATTTAGAATTCATCTTATACTAAAAGAAGTTATGGATTCTTCCAATCGTGAACATGGTATGTGCTTCCAATTGTTTGTGTCTTCCTTAATTTCATTCTTCAGTGTTCTGTAGTTCTCCGAGCACAGGTCTTTTGCCTCCTTGGTTAAGTTTTTTCCTAGGTACTTTATTTTTCTTGCTGCTATAGTAAATGGGACTTTTTTCTAGTTTCTATTTCTGATATTTCTTTTTTTTTAAGATTTTATTTATTTATTTTTAGAGAGGGAAGGGAGGGAAAGAGAGAGAGAGAGAGAGAGAAACATCAATGTGCGGTTGCTGGGGGTTATGGCCTGCAACCCAGGCATGTACCCTGGCTGGGAATCGAACCTGGGACACTTTGGTTCCCAGCCCATGCTCAATCCCCTGAGCTACGCCAGCCAGGGCTGATATTTCTCTGTTAGTGTACAAAAATGCCTTCAATTTTTGAATATTAACTTTGTATCCCTCTATTTTGCCAAATTCACTTATTAGGTCAAGTAGTTTTTTGGTAGAACCTATAAAGTTTACTATGTACACTATCATGTCATTTGCAAATAATGTTAGTTTTACTTCCTTCTTTCCAATTTGGATGTCTTTTATTTCTTTTTCTTTTCTGATCACCATGGCTAGAACTTCCAATACCATGTTGAATAGAAGTGGTAAAATTGGACACCCTTACCTTGTTCCTGATCTTAGGGGGAAAGCTTTTAGTTTTTGCCTATTAAGTATGATATTGGCTGTAGGTTTTTCATATGAGGCGCATGCAAAAAAAATGAAACTATACCACCAACTTACACCATACACCAGATTAACTCAAAATGGATAAAGGACTTAAACATAAGCCATGACACCATAAAAGTCCTCGAGGAAAATATAGACAGTAAAATTTCAGATATCCCACACAGCAACATGTTCACCAATACAGGGCAAGGGAAATGAAAAGAATAAACAAATGGAACTACATCAAATTAAAATGCTTCTGCATGGCTAAAGAAATCATCATCAAAATAAAAAGGGAATGAATTGTGTGAGAAAACATATTTGCCAGTGATATCTTGGATGAGGGTTTGATTCTCAAAATATACAAAGAACTCATAGGACTCAATGCCAGGAAGACAAACAACCCAATTTAAAAAATGGGCAAAAAACCTGAATAGGCACTTCTCTAAGGAGGACATACGGAGGGCCCATAAGCATATGAAAGGATGCTCAGCACCACTAGCCATCAAAGAGATGCAAATTAAAACCACAAGGAGGTACCACCTCACACCAGTCAGAATGGCCATCATTAACAAATCAATGAACAACAAATGTTAGAAAGGAAATGGAGAAAAGGGAACCCTAGTGCACTGTTGGTGGGAATGCAGACTGGTGCACTCACTGTGGAAAACAGTATGGAATTTACTCAGAAAACTGAAAATGGAACTGCCTTTGACCTGGCAATTCCACTGCTGGGATTATGTCCCAAGAATCCTGAAACACCAATTCAAAAGAACCTATGTACCCTAATATTCATAGCAGTATTATTTACAATAGCAAAGTCCTGGAAACAGCCTAAATGCCCATCAGTAAATGAGTGGATCAAAAAATCTGTGGTATATTTACACAATGGAATACTACACAGCAGAAAGAAAGAAGGAACTTCTACCTTTCATGACAGCATGGATGGAACTGGAGAGGATTACACTAAGTGAAACAAGCCAGGTGGTGAAAGACAAATACCATATGATCTCACCTATAACAGGAACCTAATGAACAAAACAAACAAATGAGCAAAATAGAACCAGGGCATGGAAACAAGGAAACAAACTGACAGGGACCAGAGAGGAGAGGGAAGAGGGAGAAGGGAGGAAAGAAGGGGAAGGGCTTAGTTAAAGAACTGTATGAATGACCCATGGACAAAGACAATGGGGTGGGGATCGACTGTGGGAGCAGGGGGTGGGTGGGGCAGGGGAGAACAATGGTGGAAAATTGGGACAACTGTAATAAAACAACAAGAAATGAAAGAAAGAAAGAAAGAAAGAAAAAGAAAGAAAGAAAGAGAGAGAGAGGAAGGAAGGAAGGAAGGAAGGAAGGAAGGAAGGAAGGAAGGAAGGAAAGAAGGACGGAAGAAAGGAAGGAAGGAAGGAAGGAAGGTGGCCCTAAAAAATAAAAAATGAAAACTGTATAAAAAAGAAGATATGGAAAACCTACAATATATACAAATGCAAACAGAGTCTTAATGATTCAATATTCAGAGAAGAAATATGAAATAATTTTTCCAGAACCTTCATAAGGGGCTGAGAAGTCTGCCATTTTTCTTCACACCCAATTTAAGCTAGACATTAGAAATACCTAGTTAGAGATATGAATAAGTCAGGCTAGTGCACCCCTAAGGACGTTAAGAAAGAGGTATGTAGCATGGAACTTCATCTGGATGTTTGAATGGTTGGCTTGGCCTCTTCAAAGCACATTGTGGAAATAAAGTGCCTCAGAACCGTAGTATTATCTACCTAGTAGCTACCATAAGCAGTTTATGTAGAAATTGGTTACAGTTTACCTAAGAAATTGGAGTGTAGACCAGTTCTAAACCAGATATAACTTTGGGGACATTAGGCAATATCTGGAGATATTTTTGGCTGTCACAAAGGGAAATTAGGCTGCTATTGATCTGGTTGGTAGGGGCCAGGGTGCTTCCAGATAACTTATAATGCACAGGACAGCTCCATCCCCACCCACCAAGAGGAATTATCTGGCCCCAAATGTCAATTGAGCCAAGACTAAAAAACTTTGCTCCTGACCTACAGATGTTCTTCAGTATCAATTTCTACCCATCACTGTGAATTCTGCTGTGGGTTAGCCTGCTCTTCATGTGCACAGACATCTTTCAAGAATGAGTAAAGACTATTTACGGGCATTTTAAGAATAGATTCTATTTTATACTCCAATGAAGAGAAGGAAGTGCTTGGATGTGAAATTTGAACAGGAAACAATAGAACTGTAAATCCTATTTTTGGTATCATGGGTGAAAGAAGGCTAAGAAATTGAGTGTACCTTTCATTTCTGTTGAGCAAATTTATCAGACAGTGGACATGAAACTATTTTGTGACTGCTCAGCAGAGAGCTTGGTAAATAATTGCTGCCTGGGGTTTGCTTCATGACAAGTTCCTGTTGATTACTAAGGTCAGGCACCAGCCAGTGCTTGCCCTGCCACTGCCACCCTCCGTCTTGCATGACTGTAGGCTTGGAGAAGCAGGTCTTCCTGGGTTAAATTACATTGTGTGATATGTGCAGCCATAATCAAGTTATTTGGGTTTTGTTTTTACTTGGTTTCACTATCATTAAGACAGAGAAAAAGAATGGGAGGCAGTGACAGGAAAAGCTTGAGGTTTGGTTTTCATATCTCTATCAAGGACATTTGCCTTATAAAGTTTTCTTCAGTGTTAACAAAGGATTATAGGCCCTAGCTCCACTTGAGCCAAATTGACTCCCAATATCATCATTAGTAATTACTGTAATGTAATTTATTTTTAATGGAGAAGTAAGGGATGTGGGAGTTAGGAGAGTATTTTACACAATCTAGTTATTTATTTTCCACATTCCTCAGTAAGATATCCTGCTTTATTTCATAAAGGTTGTGAATTATTTTATTTAAAATTACATAATATAATAAATCTTGAAAAAAGATAAAGATATCAAGAAGGAAAATAGGGTTTAAATAATAATCTGAGAAATTAATAGATGGAAATGCATGCACTTATGAAATATAGTCCATTATAAAATATAGGCCACAGATTCCACTCTGAGCTTTATAAAAGCTAGCAAAGAGGCAAATAAGAGGAAAGATATACTTTTACTCAATAGAGGCTAAGATTTTTTTTGAAAGAAATCTCTCCCTGGATTCTAATTTAAAAATCCAATGAAAGGTTGTGTCTTGGAGAAAGAACCAATATAACAAAGGTATAAGAAAGGATTTAAATAAGCATACATATTTATAAAATTCCCATAACTTATACATCATTTTTTATGAATACTTCATAGACAATAATCCCATCTCTTAATGGCAGAAGGACAAAGATTTTTCTTCAGAAAATGTGTGTGTCGGCTCTGACACAGGAACCCAAAGCCTTTAAGAGTCTGGATAAGCTAACACTTGTTCCATTTTTCTCTAATTACAAAAATTACTTAATTTTCTTTCATGGTATCCTTAATAGCTGATAAAACATATTTTCAATCAGGAATATTCAGAGAATACTGATTAAAGTATCATTCATTTATTCACCCTGAAATCAGCTGGTGGGTGCCCAAGTCAGAGCTCAAAGATTCAACTTAGATTCCTCTCTGTCTCTCTCCATCACCTGCAAAATCCATCCAATCACTTTTCTATATTTCTATGTCTGTTTTAATATTCCTAGTTTAAGCAGTTATTCCTTATATGAACTACTGTAATAACTCACTCACCTTTTTTCACGCCACTGCAAGATTTACCTTTTTGGAATGCAAATCCAATTACTTTCTTTTTCCTTATAATTTTTTTATTTTATAAAAAAGTAATATTCCAATGACCTTTGCATTTTATATCAGGGACTTTCATAATCTTCTTCCTGTCTGACTTTTAAAACTCATATCCTGCCATTCCACCCACCTTTACCATTGTGCTCCCATAACCCTGAACTGCAGGTAGTTCTCAAAAGCACACACCATGTATGTAATACCCCTCTCAGATTGGTGGCCTCATCCCGGTTTCTAGTGTCAACTCAGATTTTATCTCTTTGACAAAGCCTCTTGTTCCCCCATGTGGATTGAAATGTACCTTCTCTTCTGGTTCCTCTGCACATTGTTCAAATCACTAAGGGGGATTCAAATCACTCAGTCTAGTTTTCTCACTAGATTGGGACACCCTAAAGCCAAAGTATGTCATCTGCTTCAGATATTGCCCAGCCCCTGGTTCATTCCCATTTCTTTTTGTAAAACAGAACTCTGTTTTTCTTTCTCTAGCTCTCTATTTCTCTCTCTCTCTCTCTCTCTCTCAACCTCCTTCTCCCTCTCTCTCCCTTCCCCTCTCCCTTTCTCTTTCTAGTCTCAACCGTCAACTACCACCCTTTTTCCTCCTTTTGAAGATAAAAGGACTTCACTCATTCTCTCCAATTTCTCTTTTTCTGCTCTCACCTCAGTCCACTGCAGTTTGGTTTCTACCTCTATCACCCTACTGAAACTATTCCTATCAAATCCACCAGTTACATCCTAATTGTTAAAATCAGCGGACACTTTTATGATAATTATCTTACCTGACCTCCTAGCCACTTGACATTGTTGCTCATACTTTCTGCCTCAGAAGGTCTCTTGCTTAGTTTCCAGTAAAACTCAGCATTTAGATTACCTCATAACTTTTTCCTGCTCCTCTTGCTCTCTTCTGCAGATTTCTCTTCCTTAGCCATTTCTTAAACAGTGGTTTTTTTCAGGGTTCTGTCTTTGTCCCTTTCTTTCCTGTCTCTGTGCATACTCCCTAAGCAATCACATAGCTTCCCCTGACTTTAATTTTGTCTATCTGCTCTTTTTTTTTGTTTCCTTATGAAACAAGCAAGAATTGTTGAAGTCATTTATTGACTCTTCACTAATAAAGGATGAAATCTAAAGTCCTTATTATAAGACATATATTATAAGGTCAGATCACCCCAATATGTTCATTTGTTTATCAGATCTCTCCCTGAGCTTCAAATTCTGCTTTCTAGCTATGGTCATTTGGATACCCCTTACTTACCTCAAACTTAATGTGTCCACTGCTAATTCAGTATCTCCTCCTGCCATATGTGCTTCCTAGTTTGTGTTCCCTGTCCTTGATTTCTTTCTCTCTATTACTCCTCCTGTCTTATCAATCACACAATCCTTGGTATCTGGAAATATGTCCACTTCCTTTCATTCATTCGCCAGTACCCTAGCTAAGGGCACTGCCTTCTTATCTCCATGACTCTGAGAGTCTCCAGTGGTATCTATGTTACCTCTAGTCTTCCTCCCTCCAATTCATATGTTCCATTCTGCAACCAAAGTGATATTTCTAAACTGAACCTATATCTCTCTTTTGTTTAAACTCTTTCAGTGGTTTTCCATTGCTCTGAAGAAAAGTTCCAACTCCATTAAATAGTTTAAGAGCCCCTTTATTTCTGGGCTGTGCATACTTTTTTTTAAAGTTTACCATGTACTTTTCTTCACTCACTGTTTATACTTACATTTCAGCCATGCTAAATTTTTCTCAGTTCCTTCTATGACAGGATACCTGAAGGCCATTCAATATGTATTTTACCTAGTATGAAATACCTTTTTTCATCTAGCCCACTCTTACTTATCTCTCTGGCATCAACTCTATTGTTTACCCTTAGTTGGGGGTTCTTTAACTGTGTTTAATGCCACTCCTTACTGCACCTACCGCACTGTTTATCCCTTGGCACCCTGCCATAAATCATAAAGCAGAAGGAAAGCAGTAATGGGTTTTTCTCATGTGCAGTATCTCTAGCATTTTGGCACTAGGTGGTGATCAATTAATAGTAATAAGTATAGTTGGAATTAGTCAATAGTAATTGAAAACAATTGATGACTTCAAAATTTGTATCTTCAGTTTGGGCTGACATTTTCAAATATCTGATGGGCATTTCCACCTGGAATGCCAGTAAGTGAATTAATCTATTATAATTTTTGCCACATGCCTGCCTTTCCTCTTTTGTTCTCTGTCTTCCTCAGATAAACTAAAGTCATTGAGAAATTCATTGGCTTTTTATCACTAAAAAAATAAAATCCAATTTTTTTTAGAAATCCAAATTTCTTGGCATCTAAAGCATATTGCGTAGAAAATATCACTTAGGGAATTGTGTATTTTATTGATTTATTTTTTGTAAGCAACTTAAATTAGGAAATAATAATTATAGAGAGAGTTTTTAGTCTGAGATTGCTTCTTTCTGCTTCCATTAACCATCCCAAGATGTCATTAGCAATGAGCAATTGTGAAAATCTTATTAGTAACCACACACTAAATATCAGTAGATATCATAGGTAAATTTTCTCCACAAAAGTTTATGATACTTTCCGAAGTCAAATAAGACTTATTTTTGGAGTTCTATAGGCTGTAGTATGTGTATAGTTTTGAAATTCAGTTTTTTTCAGAATGATGAAGTTCAACTGAATTATTAAAATTTAGTAAAAATAAAACAAACAGGTTGTCAGTATTTTTCCCCATAATGTAGCTATCACTAAATTTAATTAAACACTTCTTTTTACAAAAATCATATCAATAATTAATTACACCCAAATTCACAGTTTGACCTATTGTAAGTGTCTTTCTTTCTTGCCAGTTGCTTACAGTCCAGGCTGTTTCTAAACCTTTCAAGTCCAGAGTCCCCAAATTAATTATTTTTCTCATACTTTAGAGTAGATAATTAGGAGTTTATATAGATTGAATTTGAATTTTAAAGATAAGGAGGTCTTAGAGATATTAAATCCTTATACAGACTAGGAAACTATTCTAGAGAAATTGTGTAAATTTATATAGAAGAGTGGGGGCTAGAACCCAGGTCATTGTATGAATCCATATTTTGTGTGAAAAAGAACAGTACTATTTATCTTTTGGAAGCTCACTAAGTCATTATTTTCTAACCAATTATGACATTAAAATATTATTTATCTGATTTGTCTTTGAAACTAATATCAAAAACCATTTGGGGCCTTAGCTATTAAATATGTTCAGTGTTATGTAATCTCTCACTGATATATGCAGACAGTCATTCTGTATTTACATTTCATAATTAATGTACATTGTTTGCCATACTTGCAGTGTAAATGAATCTGAACCTTCTTTTGAAGCAACCAGAAGGTATTATTTCTATTTTAATCTGCATTTAATAAAAATGACTTCCTTCCTCAGACTTTACTTGATACTCAATTTCTTTCTTTTGGTCATTTTGTTCATTCTGATGATGTATGAAGTTATATATTAAAATATGCTAGAATACTTCCAATCGCAGTGGTTCCCAACAGATGCGGGCTGCTGAAAGTATTAATTTAAACAAAAAAATAGCCCATTGTGTCAACTGTTTTCCTTCAGGGAGTCACATAGGTCTTAACTTTGGCTGAAACTCAGTCGGTTCTTAGCAAATTGGGTTTGGGATATTATAAAATTGGAAAAGGGGGTAGGGGCAGGTAGAAGAGGATAAAGAGGGATCAGCGGTGATGGAAGGAGGCTAGACTTTGGGGGGTGAACATATGATACAATATATAGATGATGTATTATAAAATTATATAGGTACATCTGAAACCTATGTAATTTTATTAACCAATGTCACCCCATAAATTCAATAAAAATGAAAGAATTAACATGTACTGTATTTTGCCATGTGTAATATGCTCTCCCATGTATAAAGCATGCCCAAGTTTTTGGCCCAAATTTTCAGGAAAAATATCTTTCATTTTAATTTTTTAATTCAATTTTTATTTATTTATATTTAGAAACAAAATTAGTTATCATATTCCAGGGTATTATTTTGTATGAAGATATCATTATTGCTTTCTAGAGTTACACTTTTAATGCATAAGCATAAATAAAAGAATTAAAAACATTTATATAGATACAGAGTTGGCACTACCCATGTATAATGTGCATCCTTATTTTTCCTTCAAAAATTTGGGCAAAAAAGTGCACATTATACACGGAAAAATACAGTATATTGTTTATGAGTTCAACAATGATGGAATCTGTGAATAAGGTAGAGATGGAGAACAAAATGCTACCCATATTTCAAAAAGAAAAAAAGCACTTAAAGGACTTACGAGAAGCAGGCATGTCAGAGGTTGGGAACCACTGTTTTGCTGCACATGTGGTTATCCAAGAGACCACTGGCATACTGTATGTTGTTATGTCTTCTAACTGCTAGACATTATGTTTCAGGATAATCACTCAGCATTTCTAACTACTCTTTTTCTTAATCTTATTACTCTTTTAACCTTAATTCCTTTTTTAGTACTTACAGTCAATGAACTAACTATGGACATGTGACCCTTTCCCTGACCCAATATCATCGTCTTCTGTATCTTCAGCTCACATGCATTTTCCTAATTACTGCAAATTAAAGTTTAAGATACAGATCTGGTAGAATATACAAGCTCAAAAATATGAGAGGAAAGGGTTATCATTTTTAAATAAACTATTTCAATATGTATTGAAATATGTGGCTTTCAGATGTATATGCCTTTCAATATTGAAATGGACTCTTCAAAATATTATTGTTTGTTTTGAAATATATATTATCTACTTCCTTAATATATGTTAATATGATTAAGCCACAAACACATATTATAATTATAGTTCAATTCACATTATGTTTTAAGGTCTACATATAAAAATTACTAATTTTACTATAAATTAAAACATCTGTAGCTATGACAAAGTGAATTATTATCTTTAATTATTTTTAAAATTATACCACTTTAGAAAATAAAGCTTCAATTAATAATATCTGCTTTAAAACACTTCTTTAGCACAGCAAAATCAAATTTTGCACAATGTATGACATTTTGATATAATTCTAATCCCTTGAATTCAGGTGGAATCTTTAACCATTAATAAGGTTGGTGGTTGTTAAAGTGTTTTCTTTTAGAAGTTCTCTACTTTTGTGTTTGAGATATTTTATCAAATTTTATTTAACTTAATCAAACTAAAATACACATAGGACATAGCACCCATGTGCGATTTTGGATTTTGCTTCTTTTTTTTTCCACTTTCCAGTAGGAGCAGATATTCTGTGGCTTATGCAGCTCAAAAGCCCTGGCTATTGAATGCAACAGTAGAAGAAAATATTACCTTTGGAAGTCCTTTCAACAAACAGAGGTAATGTTCAATTTATAAAATCCTTATGTTTGGTCCATAGCATCTGGAATCTTTACATTGGAAGTTCCTTTTCTTTCTGCTTGCCTTCCTTCCATCCTCATCACCAGGTCTTTTGATTCAACTGTTTTAAGAGAAGCCTCATTGGAAGTTTCAGCCCATTCTGTACACTTAGTGAGAACAGTTTGTACACCAACACTAAACAGCCAAAAGTGAAGTGTGTATGTACAAGTATGTGAGGTGGTGAGATTATTGGAAAAACAGAAGGAAAAATCCAAGTAAGCAGCTGAAGGAAGGCTAACATATTGAAAGAGAGGAAGGCTGTAGGATCTGATGGGTCTAGTGTCCAGGAGCAGCCAGAATTTGCCATATTTAACTCATCTTTTAAGTACTACTGGAGTGTTCCCAGGTGTGACCCTTTCCTTAAGCCACTTTCACAAGGATGAGTCTTAAGACACCAAACTGGGTCTTGAAAGTTGAGGAGAATGAGGTCATGGAAGATGGATGAGGAAGGTAGTTGGAAGAGTAAATAGTGTGGAATCTAAATGGCTTTGGGTTGTTTGGGGCCTGAGAACAGAGCAGACAGAAGGGGATTTGGGGATATTGACAGTGGGGACCTGGATTGTGAAGGAGGCTGAGGCAGGGTAGTGGTGGGCCATAGAATCCAGTTGGATGCGACTGTGTGGCTTCCAGGGAGGTACAGCATGTTTGAGAAAGGGACATAACAAGGTAAATGTGATGTTTAATCTGGCTGTGTAATGGCGGATATATGGGGTGGATCTGAATTAGGAGCAAGCAGACATTTAGATGTTTGTTAGAATAATTATCCAGGCATGCAGTGTCTGTTGCCTGCATCTGGAGGTGACTAGAAACATGGGAAGGAAGAGGTGAGGTGATTGACAGAAAACCATTCTAGAATGAGAATGGCCAAATATGAGCAGGGAGAAGAGGGAGGAATCGAGGATGGCTTGGATATTTTAAGACTAGGTGATTGAGAAAATGAACCATCGATAGTTTCCCCAGCGCTTTCAAACTCCATGCTTCCTTAGATTTCCAATCCAGCAGATCCCCAGTCCCGGCCTTAGATCAGTGTGAGTCCTGTCAATCCCCTTCGTCTTCCACCCGCAACCCGTGCTTCCGTCCTGGTGGGCCTCCTGGTGTGTCACGTAGGCACCATAAATTCTCTCACCTTTAGGCAGTTTTCTAAGCTTCCTTTCCCTCATTTCTTGACAAATTATGATTCCTCTTTCTGGGTATTATTTACACCTTACATTCTCTGCAAAGATGTCACTGACTTCTCGGAATGGTCAGTCATTTCTTCCTGTGTGTATTCTGGGAGCACTTTGTATGCTCTTCTGTGAGAGTACGTAACAAGGTACATTTTTATTACATGTTTCTGTGTCAGTCTCGTGCTCCAACTACTAGCTTCTTAAGAGTGAGAACCAATACTTATTTATCTTTGTATCCACAGATTTAGCTTAGAGGCTAATAGGTACAATTGTTCAATAAATGTTATATTTCAGCTTCCAAGATATTGAATTTGTGACTTAGTTTATGGGCAGCATATTAATAACGTTCTAAAAATTCAAAATCATTTCTCCTAAAGGTATAAAGCTGTCACAGATGCTTGTTCTCTTCAGCCAGATATTGACTTACTACCATTTGGAGACCAAACTGAAATTGGAGAAAGGGTGAGCTATGTATAGTTGAACTAAATGATAAACAAAAATCTAGAAAAGCCTTCTGGTTGTCATTAACCTTTAATAGAGTATAATAAAATCTGAGGGTTTAAAATTTGTGTGTTGTACTAGTGACAAGTTCCAGAGAAAGAATACAGGAGCTCTTTAATGCCACTCTCTCTTAAGTGTCTGTTGCATAACCACCATATACTTAACATTGTGCTGGCCACTTGAGAGCTCTCGAGGAAAACAGAGCAGTTCCTGCCTTTGATCAAGTGTAATTTTACTTACTTGGAGGTTACTTTATATTGATTTGGAAACTGGGATTGCTTTCGACAACTTCTTCCACTCTTGTCAGCATCTATTTACTCTTGTTAAAGTGTTCATTTTTTTCCTTGTGTAAACATGTTTTTCATTGACATTGTGCTATTCTGACCAGCTGAAAAATGTTTATACCTCTATGTAATCTTTTTAACAATGTCGGATAACATTTTTAATGCTCATAGGCATCAAGTATTCAGTGAAAGATTTTTGTATGCTACCTGCACATTGAAGCTGAGAAAGCGGAAGCCAAGAGAGGTTAAAGAGCTAGCCCCATCACAGAGTCAGTGGCGCATCTGGAATTAGTCTGACTCTGTAGTCTGCATTCTTTTATGTTTTTTTTTTAAACAAAAGCCAAGTTTATTTGTTCATTTCTTGCATTTGAAATACTCCTCGATGACATCCTTGGCCTGAGACTCTTTACCCTAGTCTTTAACCACCACACAACTGCCTCCAGTCACTTGACAGGGTTTTCCCTCTCTGTCAGTTTTACAGAGGCCTACCCATCCCCTAGTTCCTTGTCATCATCAACTGTAACTTAGGTTGGTTTAGTGTCCAGCACAAAGGGACTCCACCAACTTCTCGTACTCAGGCTCATCACAGTTGGATGCAAGCACATGTTGATGGGCTTGGCATTTGTCTGTGGCTTTGGCAGCTTCGCCAATTCCACATGCGAGGTCGATAAGGGCAGTCTTCAGCACTCCTTGCAAAGCAGTATTAATGTCCATTACAGCTCCAGCAGCAATGCCTTCCTTGGCTATGGCATTGAGTTATGGTGGAGCTAAATCTTGAACATACCCAAGTCTCTGCCTCCATGCAACTGCTTGGGAACAGGAAAAGAGCTGTAGTCTGCGTTATTAATGACTATTTATTCACCATAGTATATGGTATTTAAGAGCATGAACTTAGCTTCTCAGAGCCTTAGTTTTTGTATTTGTAAAATGAGAACAGTACTACCTATTGGGATTACTATGAGGAATAAAAGAAATGAGGAATGTAAAGCCATTCACACAAGTGCTCAATAAGTATCAATAAATCTTCGAATAACATCCTTTTGTTCAATATCATTTTGTTCAACATTGTTTTGTTATAACATTGAGATGCTGTAGGAACTTAACACTTGTTCATATCCATTAGCCTATGGTAAAATTGGTTTTGTCATATGTTGTCTTGCTGTGGTCCCGAGAACTTGTGGACAATGTTAAGTGAGGACTTACTTTAACAGTTTTTTAAAAAAATGTTATAATTAGCACTTGATTATAAAAGTATTGCAGCATAGTTCTGTTGAACAAAACTTGGAATGCCAAATTTAAGAGATATATGTTAAGTACACTACAGACACCGAAATAGGAAAAAAATTGGAATTGTTGACAGTCTTCAGCACCCACTAGTGTTTTGCTCATTAATGCTTTTGTGCAACAGAATTCTCTCTTGTAGTGAAAGGGAGATTACTGTTACCAGTGAAAAATTACCTTAATATATGATTCAGGTGTTAACCACTAAGCAGTTTTCATTTTATCTTATCAATATTATCACAGTTCAATTAGTAAATTACCATTAGTTTGAGATTTTTTTAGAAAAATTTTTGGGTGGGAGGGTGGGGAGAGTGGTGGGGAGAAAATGGAGACAACTGTACTTAAACAACAATAAAAAATTTAAAAAATGTTTAGAGAAATTTGTATTTGAAAGGGAATGCTTTACCAACAGATCATTTATTCATGGAAAAGGTGGATATTATGGCTATTTCTTTTCTAGGGCATCAACCTGAGTGGGGGTCAGAGGCAAAGAATCTGTGTGGCACGAGCTCTCTATCAAAACACCAATATTGTCTTCTTGGTGAGAATATAGCCTTTACTTTCTACTTCATTTTCTCCCTCTGGTAAAATGAGTCTTTAAAGGACAAGCAAAATAACTTAAGGAAAGATGGTTTAAGTTATGAAGTCATAGAAAATGTAGGGAAAACAAATCCTCACAGTATAAATCAGATCAACACAGAAGGTTGAGAGCTGGGGGAGTCTCAGTGCAAGAGACTGAGGTTCCCACATGATTGCTTATATGAGTTTCTTAACCACGAGAATCATTAGTGAGAGCGTGTGAATGGTGCTGGGTCAACTGGACAAGATCATAGGTCTTCTCATTTATATTTGCTGGCAAGGAAAGTAGGTCTGGGAAATACATTCTTGGTGGACATAAGAGGAAGTAAGCATAGTATTCTATTCCAGTGGTGTGCACCTTAGGCTGTGGATAAATTTCCTAAAGCTATAGAAGTCCAGTTACCACCCAAGACCTATTGAATCATAATCCGTAAGGGCAGATTCTAGGGTTTGTGTTTTGAAAAAGCTCTATGAATATTTATCATATTAATTCTGGGTTATTAACTTGGTTCTACTTGTGGATCCACAAGTAAACTTAGATGATTATGTTGACTATGAATTTGTTCTAGTACTGAGCTTACAAATAGATAATATATATCATATATATCAGAGACCAGAAGACTTTGTAAATGCATCCTTCCCTGTCTTTTTCTTCTTTGCAAGTATTAACTATTTATAAATCTGGTTTCCAGGCCTTATTTAGAGTTTTTATTTCATTTAATCTTAAAAAAGCACTTCAAAAAGTAGGTTGGTTTTGGAATTTCCCACTAAGTTTGGATCCATTACTGTAGATGGTAGTAGAATTTGGACATACTGTGAATTCACTTCAGGTTCATTTCCCTAAGAACACCAGTCCCCAAATTTTTCCAGACAAAAACACCCTAAAAGCCATAGCAAGTTCTAGCAGTCACCTATGTAACTGTAATTTTTTAATAATGGATGGGCCCACAACTAGAAGCGACTTCTTGAACTTTGGGATCAGTTAATGACTGAACCAGCTGAGAACAAGTGATGTGGAAATCTGAAAAAGACCAAGGTCTTCTGGGTGTGGTGTTCCACCCCAGTTCATTTCACTGCCTTCAATTTAGTGACCCTTACTTACCTCAACTGTAGAAGCTTGGGACTCAGGCCATAGGGCCAACCTATTGTGGATTCCTAATCATTCGTTATAGAATTAGTATTTTTTGCATCATTTCTAACAGCTTCATGATTCCTTCTGAAGACAGATTGCTTATCTTTAAGGCAACCTTTTCCTTCTTGGTCAGTGTATAAGTTCCTTGTGCAGGTATAACAAATTGCCATAATTAGTGTCTTAAACATTACAAACTTGTTATCTTACACTTTGTAGGTTAGAAGTCCACCAGGAATCTTACTAGGCTCAAATCAAAATGTCAGAAGGGCTGTGTTCCCTTCTGGAGGCTCTAGGGGAGAACTCATTTCCTTGCCCTTTCCAGCGTCTAGAGACTCTACCTTCCTTGGCTCATGGCTGCCTGCCTTCATCTTCAAAATTTACTACTGTCAAATAATGACCTGTGTTGTCCTTCCCCCCTTATTTTAGCCTTTTTTCTTTCTTCCCTTTCCCCTTCATTTCCATTTCCTCCTTCCCTCCCTCCATCCATCCCTTCCTTTTTTCATCCCTCCTTCCCTTCCTTCTTTGCATCAATCAGTGTTTAGTTAACCTCCTCAGTACCATTTTCTGTGCTGTGTAGAGAAACAAAGAAGAAAAAGGCATTACTCTTATCTTTAAGGATCTTACTTTTATAGATGATTACTGGAAGGGTTTTGTATTTTGCTATCATTAAACTTTATTACATTAGCCTTTACACAATATCAAAGCGAAATGAAAACATTCTAATGATGTATCAAGCATGCCAGTTATTTTTGAAGCTTTATGGTATCTGTAAATGTGCCGTATCATTAATATATTTATAAGGAGTTATTTCCAGAAATATATCCATGCAAAGAGTATAAAACTTGAACATATTAATAGAATATAGGAGAGAATGTATTAATGAGAACTGTATATATGCATATAAAAATAAACATATTCTTGAAAATGAAGGATTGGGTGGGCATTTGGCATATTGTCTTACTTTCTCTAAAGGAAGCATTGCCCCCAAATGTTAATATGTAAACTGGATCTTGAGGAATGATTCACAAACCATCAAGCCTAGTTTTTTTTAAGTTGCATAAAAGGTTACATTTGACTGTACCACCAAAACACCCCATAATGCAGCCATGGCATATAAATTAAATGAAAGCAACCATCATTGAGGGCTTTCTATGAACCAGCTATAATTCTAAGTACTTAATACACATTAGCACATTACATTATCATAAATCCTGTTAGGTTTGGCATTGTTATTGTCATTATTATTATTACTACTGCTGCTACTGCTATTTACAGAGTATATTGAGGCTTTGGGGAATAATTTATCCAAGGTCACACAGAGAGTAATAGCAAAGCAAGGATTCAAACCCAGGTGGCCTGATTCCATAGCCAGTGTTCCAACCACCGCATTCTTCCTTATGAAGAGATTCCTGGAAGTCGCTGAACTCTCACCGAGATGCTTTAAAGGGATTAGTTTTAATCCACCACACCTAATTTTTTTAAAATAAGAAACAGATTCTAAAAAAAACCCACTTTCAGAACACTTTGCAGAGACTTTTACAACATTGTATTCGATCTTTGTAATAGCCCTATGTGCTCTCTGATAGGTCTCATCATTACCCACACATTACACATGTGGGTCCAAGTGACAGAACATGGAAATTCACCCAGTGTCAGAGAGGGGTGGAGTCATGGCTACAGATTAGGCCTCTTGATTTAGAGATAATGAACTTTTCTTTATGCCTTACTATCTTACAACATTTAAAGTCAGAATTTTATAGAAATTATTTCTTCCTCTTGATATTGACAGCTTTTGAAATCCTCTATTGTTTTTTAGTTTTGCTATAATGTATCCTTCAGCTCTATTTCTGTTTGGTACTTTTTTGTATTTTGTTCTGTTTGTTCAAATTCTCACTTTGTTCATGCATTGCTCTTCTGACCTCACTGAGCATCTTTATGACTGTTATTTTGAACTCTGTATCAGGTAAATCACTTATCTTTGTTTCACTGCAAAGACTGGCTTATGGAGATTTATCTTACTGAAACATATTCCCTTGTTTCTTCATTCCTCTTGACTCTCTGTGTTAGTTTCTGTTCATTATATTAAACAACCACCTCTCCCACTCCAAGCTCCTGGTTGCCTCTCAGACCTTTGTGATTATCCAAGCTGCCATTTTGGTCCTTACTGGCCCCCTAGTAGTTGAATGGGTGCTAAGATCCATCAAAATCTCAAAAGAGGAGGATCAGAGTCAGCACCTAGATACAGGCTGATTAGAAGCTGGACCCTTTGGTAGAAAAAGACCAGGAAAATATTCAACCAAATCCCTTTGAGGGGGATGGGCATTTTTGCATGATCTGTCTGTGTGGAGCCAGGGTGTACAGCCAGGGGCGATGGGGAGTGGGGTGCCCCTGCACCTGTTTAAAAACTGCTTCTTTGTTTGTTGTGAGATTTGTGAATGCAAGTCCTGTTAGCTATCAGAACTAGGTGACTTGGGGGCTGTCCCTTGGGTGACAGCCATAAAAGCTGGGGCACCAGATGGGTAAAGGAGCCCTTTCTAGGGAGATACTGGCTTCTCTGCTTTGTCGTTGGAGTGAGCTGGAGACAGAAGGCAGAGGAAGTACCCAGTAGCTCTTGAAGGCTCTAAGGAGGGTCCATGTCAGCACTTACATTCAGATTAATTGGAAGCTGAATCTTTAGGTAAGTTTGTAAAGTTTGCAGTTAAAACTCCTCCAGGGGTGGGGGCGGAAAACTCCTCCAGGGAAAGACTAGGAACTGGGCCCGCTGTGCTGAGCCCTGAACATGGCAGATTGTCATGCGCCTGTCAACAGCTGCTTCTTTGTCTGTTACAGACCTTTTTGGTCATAAATGAACGTCCTGTTGGCTTTCAAACCTAGGTGATTTAGGATCCTGTCTGTTGGGTGGTAGCCTTAAAAGTCAAGGCACTAGATGTGTGATTCCAAAGCTTCCCTCCTCAGGAAAAGCTGGGAGTTGGGGGTTCTCTCTTCAGTTGTATGGTGCTGTGTCAGGGTGGGGTTTATGGACAGAGTGTATCTCAGCAATTCCTACCCATTTAGGTGTGGGTGTTTTCTCAGTTGCCTAATGTGTAGAAGTCACTCAACCAGTTTCTGGATTGCTCTGTGTGTAGCTGTCTGTGTATCTGGTGCACCTGTGGGGAGGAGGGAAATTCAGGAGCTCCCCATGTCACCATCTTGGTCCAGAGCCTATGCCTATTTTTATAATCTAAAATTCAACTACTCCAATTCTGTTCTTTGTTTAGTCTGTAGTTAAAGGTTGTCAAAATGTTGGGTTTTGAACTTGAAGATTCTATATATAAAATTCAAACCATTTTTAATATTGTATTTACTTTTTAAAAATTGTAAGGTAAAAGAAAATAAAAGCTTCTTTTTTTTACATTATACCAGCAGCTTATTTATTCTTCTTTTAAAAATACAGTTGCCATGCAATGTTATATTGTTCCAGGTGTACAGCGCAGTGCTTAGACATTTACAGAATTTACAATGCAACCCCCCAATAAATCTAATAACCACCTCACTGTGTGTAGTTATTACAGTGTTGCTGACTGTATTCCCTATGCTGTACTTTATGTGACTATTTTGTATCTACCAATATGTACTTCTTAATTCCTTCATTTTAACGTAATATTTCTGACAATTTAAAGTTATTGATATATGAAGTCTGTTTTTATAAATCAGACTTGAGGAATCATTTGCCCTTTGTTATTTGTATTTCTACTTTCTGGAGAAAATAAGTCACAGAAAGGTATAGGAAGTTTTTACCTTCTCTCTTTTGACTGGTTGTAGGATGACCCGTTCTCCGCCCTGGACATTCACTTGAGTGATCACTTAATGCAGGAAGGGATTTTGAAATTTCTCCAAGATGACAAGAGGACACTCGTCCTCGTGACTCACAAGTTACAGTATCTAACACATGCTGACTGGGTGAGAGTTTAAAAGAAGTTTCATTAATTTTTATATTATAGTCCACTTAATAAAAAGGGACATTAAGAAGTGCTTTCTGAGATCAAGGTAGTTCATTTGGCCACTTCAGGCTTTTTGTCACAGTTCTGCTAATATGTGCTTTCCTTAGATCATAGCCATGAAGGATGGAAGTGTGCTAAGGGAAGGGACTTTGAAGGACATTCAAACCAAAGATGTTGAGCTTTATGAACACTGGAAAACACTTATGAATCGGCAAGATCAAGAATTAGAAAAGGTAATTGCTCCTAGTTTCGAAGAATTCCAGGTTCAGTTCAGAAGAGTCAGAAATATACTGTATAATTAGTAACATATTTTAAAGAAGTATTTAACTTTAATGTTTGATATTTGATAATTGTCCTCATTTGAAATCCAAAGCAATTGCATATGTCTATGTCATTAACAAATGTGCTACTTTGAAACTATAAAATTCAAATGTTGTCTTCTGGATGAAGTGCCATTGGGTTTTTAGAAGATTTTTATTTGAATTTGAACCATATTGCAAATTGATGTGTGATTAAAACTTAAACAAATTACTTGCTGAAGCATATTCTTATTTTATATATCCTTATTTTATCTTATTTTTCTGATGTAGATCTTATTTTTTTCATCTGTAGTGTGAGAATATTTTCATTCACCACCTACAAATGATCAGTTATGGGCAACAGAAAATCCAATGTAACTTAGAAAAAATGAACATCTGTGAGCTGTAGGTGAAGTTGTAAAGCATGTATTGGGTAGCATTAGAAGTGAGGGAAGGTAATCAGAAAGAAATAAGAATAAATTTTTATATTTGTATAGCTTTAAAAGTTCACAAAGCCCATTTTACAGGATTTCATTTAATTAGCATAAAACCCTAGATATCAGAAAAAAGAATGAGGAAGAGAGAAATGAGCAAAAAAAAAAAAATACCGCCTAACTTTTACAGATGGGGAAACAAGCTCAGAGAGGCTGAGTTACTTGCCCAAAGTTGTGCAGTGTGTATGATAAGTGGTCCTAGTTGAACTTAAATCCAGGTCCATATCCAATGTAATTATAGTGTAATGTTATGTATGATGTAATTACTACATGGAAATCAGACCGAATACAATAAAAAAAGAACAACTTGTGATTAAGAGCGAAATTGTAACTTGAATTAGTAAAGTTTTTAATTGTTATCTCTTGAATTATGATGAAACAGTGTCCAAAATTTGGTACCCCTGGCCGTGAATAAGATTGTAAAATGAAATCTTTATATCAACAAATTTCTGAGAATATCAATAAATTAAAATGTTTATTTTATAAAAGAATGAAAGGATCTATGTTTCAATAGAGAGGGGAAGATAAAAAGTCAGACCCTTGGATTGCTCTGTCTTCTGTGGATATGACCAAAATATCAAAAGGTAACTACATAAGGAGGAAATGATGTATGTAAAAATCTTTAAGTAGAATAAGATAAATCATGGAACCCTTGAAAACAGGACACTTATTTAAAAAATAATAAGGTACAATTGGCCGGTGCCCACTTAGAAATTATACTGTGAAAAGCTTGATTAAGAACTTACCAGGGATGGATCCAAATGATATTTTTTCAGATGCCAGGGAGAAAAGAATATGATGTAAGCTTAAGGAGTGGGACCATTTATGGTTTACTTTGGAAAGAAGATTTGGAAAGAGAGAGAAAGAGAGAGAGAGAGAGTGAGCTGCTGGCTTGGTTTTATAGTAATACTGTTAAGCAAGCCAGGAAGAACGTCCATTAAGTTATATTTAGAGATGAAGTGATCACTTGAGATAGCATAGCTTTATAATTAAAGACACATTACAGGGTTCTAAATTCGCTGAGGCAGATAGGGAACAAGGTAAGGTGAGGACAGAGTGAACCCAGGTGTGTGGTGGAAGAGTGGCAGTGGAAGCCAGAACAAACCATGCACCTGCCCAGAATCCCCGCCTGGAAATGGAGGGAGGGTCCTGTCACCCAGGGAAGGCCAAGGAGAGTCATACTATGGGGAACATCTTGGGGAAGTGTTTGTAAAAACAGTTTCTTGTTTAATTCATTATGTGGCAGAGTGTTTACATAGAGCCCTGGTTCTCAACCAAGACCTCTTTTGCCTTCTAGGAGACATTTGTGACATCTACACCCATTTTTGGTTGCCACAACTCAGGGGAAGTTGCTACTGGCATCTAGTGGGTAGAAGGATGGTCCTAAACTTCTACAATGCACAGGGCAGCACACCCCACCCCCACCCCCACCCCACAAAAAAAGAGCTCCTTGAGCCTAAAAGGCCATAGTGGCAAGGCTGAGAAAGGCTGGCCTATAGCCAAACAGATGGAACAAGCAGAGAAGGAAGGTGATATTAAAGGACCCACAGAACGTCCTGTCTCAGGACTTTACACAGCACTGCCAGTTTACTGGTGAAGGGGTCAACAGCAAAGATTACGTTCAATCAAAAGAATAGCCATGAAAACTACAAGAAGAAGAAAATCACTTTTTTACCTGGTTTAAATAGTACTAAAATTCTGGCTGGGATAGCATCAACCATATTCTTCATAATGTCATTATGCTAAATAAACTGGCATCATCTGATGTTTCCTCCCCTACTCCCAGCTCTCCCTTGACCTGCCCCATTGTTGGCACTCAATAAATATATATTGGAGAAATTAGTTCATATTTACCTGATCCAAATATCAACACTATTTAAAATATTCAACCTGTAGTTAGCCTACTATGAACATTTACTCATAGGAAACATGATTTTGAAGAATTTTTCAAATGTCTCTAAGACATTCAATCTTTTGATCACACAGCATGGAGGTTGAATAAAACCAAATCTTCTACTTTTCAATGGATAGGTTGTATTTATTTCAGTACACTGTTCCCAAAGGATTGAGTCCTTTTTAATTGTATTTTATCTAAGCTCATGTACAAGTGTTGGTTTTCATATCATCAGACAAAATTAAAAGCTGATGTTGTCTCTGAAAAAATACTGTTCTTGAGACACTTTCACTTTTACTCTTTTTTAACCAAGAATCTGGAAGCAATAGAGCCGTCTAGAATAGCATGTCTCCTGAATCACACGTGTCATCTGAGGCTAAGTGAATAAATAGACCTCAAATCAAAATCACTATTTAAAGGCCAATCACTTCAGGCTTATTGATATAACAAACTGATTTTTTTGTATCAGCATGTACAGGAAACCTGCAAATTACCTGGATTCCAAAAGTTTGTGGGTCAGTTGTTGGGAACTCAGAATGCATTTCCCCACAGAAACCAGGCATGTGGTTAGTTTCCCAGAATGTCCTGCAGAAGCCGATTTAATCCACAGTGTAACACAATGCTGCTCCAGTTCTGAAGTCCAGGACCAGTGGTGTCAGACACAGAGACAAGAGAAAATGAAATGCTTTCTTTCTTGGACAAGTCTGGAGCAACCATTAAAAATTCACAGTTCATTTTGGGTACCTTTCCCCTTCTCTTTTGGCACATGTCCCCCTCCTTGGTCTTTCTACTAAACTGCTTCTGAGTACTCTTGTTTCCCATTTCCTTCAAAATTACCTATGTTCCTTCAGTTCTTGTTGAAGTTCTTATCTTTTGTGCAGCTATCTTAGTGAGATGCTAAAGAAACTCATTCTGATTTAATAGTTCATAATAACAGGGAATGACAGATAGTGCTTTAACCAGTCTAGAACATGTATTTCAAAGGAAGAGATTTATTAACATAAATAAATCTTTAGTTAGAGAAATTAAAGGAGTTATCTGAAAGTGATGTAAAAATAAAGCAACTGTCAGTGGTAGAACTGTGCTTTAGGGCTAGGGGAGGTATCCTCTGCCCTTGGGGTCAGCAGCATCATGCTGTTACTACTTTCTGGGTTTCTTCCTGCTCTGGGCTTCTTAGCTCTCAGGCACTTCCTACAGTCCTTAGACATTGCACCACAGCTGCTCCTATGACAGGAGCTGTGGATCTCTGGAGAGAGCAGAGAGCCCAGATTGGTAAGGTAACTAACGATTGGTACGTGTGAGTCACTGACCAGCAAGTTAAAACTTTCCAGTGGCCGTGAGCTCCTTGAGTGATGATAGCACAATGTTTGCTGCAGGACATGGAAGCTGACCAAACTACTTTAGAGAGGAAAACTTTGAGAAGAGCCATGTATTCCAGAGAGGCCAAAGCCCAAATGGAGGATGAAGATGAAGGTACACTTCTTTTCCTTCCATCGGAAACAGTCAAGTAGATAATGGGATGTGAGGGCTTTACCTTGGCAATTGACCTGTGAGTGTCCTACTGAGGAATAAGCCTCTCTGCAGGTGGAAAAGAGCTAAATCAAGTACAACGGTAGTGAAAATGCAAAGGATAGGAGTGGAAGCGAATGGTATGCATTCAATCAGCAGGCATCTTGAGGGATTTCCCATAGTGTGTCTTAGTGTATTTGTGTTGTGTGTGAGAGAAAGCTGAAATGAAAAGTCAATAGTTTGTAAAATCTAGACTCCTGTTCAGAAAAATTGGAAAGGTCTAGTAGCATGACCCACTGAAGTTATTAATAAATGCCCCTCTTTCAAAAATAAACAATAAATGGGGAATATAGAGATTCCCCATTTGAAATATATATATATTGAATCATGAGGTTCTTCATGGTGTTTTTATGGCAATGAAGAATAAGAGAATTAGCCATTTATTATGTTTCAATTTTCTGGATATAGTAAGGAGTAAGTGGAGAAAAAGATTTACTGGAAATTTGAGGAATTAGATGAAATAATTACATTGCTTTAGCATTTATTGCCAGGAAGTTTGTACAATAAATCACTTTCAAGTCTATATACTATATGCACTATACTTCATTTTTCCTATACAGTTTTTGCTTAAGACTACATTCTTACAAGTTATTTTAAGCCACAGAATACCAAAATGTACTACCTTTATGTTTCAGATGATAATTATTCAGTTTTTCAACAAATGACTGAATGAGTGGATAGATTTTTGTTTCAATTTATTTGATTTAACATGGTTTTAAGATATTTTGATAACATCAGCCTCAAGAATTCTAACTCAGTTATTTCTAATGCACTCTAAAGGTAATGTCATGCCCAGCTACTCTCCCCAGTGTGCCTGTGGTGAGCATACCACTTGGGATGCTGACTCTGCCCTGGTCTCGGTCTATTAATCCATTTTCTCAAGTATAAAATAAGATAAAAACACTTTCCTTACAGGGTAAAATAAGTTAATGTCTATGAAAGAGCCCAGTATGGTACTCGTACATATTACCTATTAGGTTGCTGGTTCTGGTCCTGTCTGTATGTCTGCTCAAGCCACCAGGAAAGGAAAAAGGAGAGTAATTGCATGTTTCTACTACTTACATTGGCCAATTCATCAGAGTAGGTACAAGGAAAGTGAAAGAATGTTGTCTTTAGCAAGACAGCCACAAACAAGTTGAAATTTCAATTAATATGGAAACAGAATATGAATATTGGGGAGACAGCTAGCAGTTTGCAAGTGTCTGCCTTTTTCATCAGGTAAATTTCATATCTTGTCTTTCTCCTGCGTTGAAACCACCCTTAAGAGAGGGATTATTTGAGACCTGTTTATTTATTGTATCCAGATCAAATATTAGCATCCTTTGTGATGCTCAGTCCTCCCATCATATCCATATTTAGATCCCCATGGTCTGATAACCTATAATCCAAAACCAAGTAGTCTGTTCTTCCTACCCACAACCTGCTCAGTGTTCAGAGATGGCGTATATAAAGGGTAACTCCAACAAAAAGCACCTTTGGAAAAGGAAAGGAAGGGAATGTGCAATAGTCACGGAACCATACAAATCATCAAGTATTACTGGTCAGGAAATGCCCAGATCCTCTGTCCTCACAATACAGTATGCTCTTAGGATAGCCTTCCTGGAGTTTTCAGACAGCTTAACATCTGAGAGGAACTCCCTGCCCACAGTCCCCTGTTGCTCCCGGCTCTGCCCGAAGATTTCTCTTTGCCCCTTCTCTGCATTACAACGTCTGAAATGGGCCATAGAGAGCCTGGAGTACGCCCTCTGGACCAGGGACAAATTTCAGAGCCTGTTTATTCCTGGTGCAGTTTTCTAAGTTCAGAAATTTAGAGTTCAAAGAATTCCATATAAATATGTTCGGGCCAGATATGTGGTTTTATTGGCAACATAATTCCTTCAACAACTTAGTAAATTTCTATCCTAAACTTCCAGTAAACTTGATGTGTAATAAATCATCAAATTATCTCACCCAGACATGGATTTTATGTTTTTTTTGACTCATTTATTTATTCATTTTCACCCATTTTTCAAAAATTACATTTTCTCTGCTACAAGTATTTAAGTTTTCTCAGACTAATACTTGTATTTCTATAAGTTTGAGGGAGATCATTATATGCTTTTTTGTGAGATAATACAAATGCTATCTACCTGCTGCCCACCTGAAGCTTCAACAAGTGTTTCTATGCAGAAGAAGAAGAGGAGGAAGATGAGGATGACAACATGTCCACAGTGATGAGGCTCAGGACTAAAATGCCATGGAAAACCTGTTGGCGCTACCTCACTTCTGGAGGATTCTTCTTGCTCTTTCTCATGATTTTCTCTAAGCTTTTGAAGCATTCAGTCATTGTAGCTATAGACTACTGGCTGGCCACATGGACATCGGAGTACAGCATAAACAATACTGGAAAAGCCGATCAGGTACAGTGGGTTCTGTCTTTAAATCATCAAGGGAAGGTTGAGAGTAACTGTGATACCTTTTTTATCTAGTTAGAGACTAATAGCCCAAATATCATAGGACTTTTATAGTGTGATTCAATAAGTTAATTAGAACAGGGCCTGTCAAAGTGGCATCTGTTATCATCACTTTTGTTTTTAAAGTTTATCACAATAAACATTTAAAGATAATGTTGGATTAGGATTCAAGAGAATTATATACACATGATGTGTGTGTGTGTGTGTGTGTGTGAGAGAGAGAGAGATACATAAGGGACTCTTGTTGTTCTGATGGTATTTGATTTTAACTTCCTATACCAGTGAATGAACTGTTTGTTCTGAAATTAGGGATAAAAAGAATAAGTGCTGCAATATAAAAATCCAAGAATATGTCAAACCTACAAACAGACTCCATACTTTATCTGCCCTTAGGTAAATTTGGAAAGAGAGTGAAGGAAGCAAAGGGAGACTAGGCCTTAGAATTATGGTAGAAATATTGCCCTAACCCTCAAAAATTGCACCCCTTCCAACTGTCTAAATTGATGCAAAATAATGAAGTTGACAATATTGTCTGACTTTGATATTTGGTTTTCTAGTAAGGAAAAACTCAACTGGTAATTTTATGTTTTTTATGTTGGTGCCTCTTAGACCTACTACGTGGCTGGGTTTAGCATACTCTGTGGAGCAGGAATTTTCCTCTGCCTTGTCACATCTCTCACTGTGGAATGGATGGGTCTCACAGCTGCCAAAAATCTTCACCACAATCTCCTTAATAAGATAATTCTTGGACCAATAAGGTAAAAAGTTAATTATTTTTACTTCCATGTTTAAAATCTACATGCATTTTAAAATCTAAGTGCAATTTGGAATTTTAAAGAATGTATTCAATCCTTGAACAAATGAATAGGGACCTTCTCATTTTCATGACTCTAATGATGTCTACTTGCAGTGCTCAGGTTCCAAATGCTTTAGTATTTTCATACGTTTCAATGTGTTTGTTGCCTAGATTCTTTGATACCACACCCCTGGGACTAATTCTCAATCGCTTTTCAGCTGATACAAATATCATTGATCAGGTGAGTGCTTGAGCTAGTTACAAGTTCAAGAATAAATTTCATAGAGTAAGCTAAATAATATTTGGGATATACCATGATTCCTCTTAACAATATAGGATTTCTAAAACTTAAGTGAAAACTTATTTATGTTCATATCAATATTGTATGCATAAATGATTTATAGAATAAAATCTTTAAGGAAAACCTTAATGCAAAATAAGTTATACATGCAGAAGAGAATACTTAGAGAATCAGCATGATATCAATAGAAATAGCAGAAAATAAACTAACATTTAAATTTTTATTATAAAAAGGAATGATTTTGACCAATGTTGTATCTCTATTCACAGTAAAGTTCTTAAAAGTTCAGCTGATGCAAAGTGTCTCCCAGAAGTAAAGAATGGAATGCCAATCTGTTTTAAATGTCCTTTATTTTTATTAGATGAGCTCTTGAATGAGAGAAGTTGTAGATGGTATGATATTTTAGAAATATTCCAAAGATAACCAGTTGAGTCTTAGATTCTCAGGCCTCTAAAAGTTGGTCCTGAAATTAAAGACCTCAAATTCTGAGTTTAGCTAACTCCAAGAACAGACCCTTTAGGACGACTGAGAAAAGAATCCATCAAATTAGCCCTCGCTTTTTCCGATTTTACAGAGTAAGCTTTAGGAAACCTAAATTACCCTCAATTTAGAAAAAGAGCCCTGGCTGGTAAACCTACTAAACTGTGGGAAGTGAGTGAAGTTGGAGCAAAAAATTGCTTACAGTGGAAATGTTTATATACTACTTCCGTAATTAACTGTATAGTGTCACATTAATATAAACTGAATATTATCTTACATTGTAACCAACATGCATTGATCTGAAACATTTTCCTTCCAAACTACCTGCATAATAGCACATCCCGCCGACTTTGGAATCTCTCACTCGCTCAACGTTGCTCTGCCTGTCTGCCATTGGCATGATTTCCTATGCTACCCGTGTGTTCCTGGCTGCCATTGTGCCTCTTGGAGTCGCCTTTTATTTTATCCAGAAATACTTCCGAGTGGCCTCTAAGTAAGTAAAACAATATTCTGTTCATCTTCAAAAGCCTATATATTTGATTTATTGTGGTCCACATTTCCTGTAGGCTTTTTTTTTTCAAGATAAAGTATAGGATTTGGAAATGCAACCTCTTTTTGTCATGGTGAAACCTATCCTGACGTGGGAGATCCACTATAATTGTTTCTGTAATTAGTTGTCCACCCTTACATAGCCCTGGACGCCAATATATTAACACATGGATTGATCTGTTGAGGTTTTGGTCCACAGACTGCCAAATTTTTTATCCCGTGTGGTCTTTTTACTGAACATGACATTGGCAAAAAAATTAGGAAATCCAACCTAGTCCCAAAGAATAAGTGACTTAATATTATTATATTCCCAAGGGGGGGGGGAATAAAATATTTTAACATGTTTAAGGCACATTCTGTAAAAAATACAGTACAAATAAAAAAGGTTAAAGAGAGAAAACAGACTGATGGCCATGAAAGTAGATAATCTTGAACACTGTAACTTGAGGAGACTGGAAATTTTCAGATTGGATCATTTAAGATGCACTTGAATATCCAGCCAAATAAGTAAAAGATAACCATGGATTTTAAATTATTCTGTTAATATGGAATTTGTCAGTTGCTGAGCTGTTGAATAGTTAAATGAAATATTGTACCAGTCATTTTGAAATTTCCAGTTTAACTTTGAAGCCCTGCTATAAATAGTACAGTAAATGTTATATCATTGCAATAATCACATTATTTCAACAAACACTTATTAAGCATTGACAGTGTTGCAAATAATTCTGTGAGCCAGGGGGCAGATGAAGAGATCAACATGATAAGGACCCGTTATGGAACAGTTTTGGGGGAAGATAAAACATATTAACTGCTGGAATAGGAAAAAAGGCATTAAGTTTATTCAGTAAGCTACAAATATTTAATAGGACTCGAGGCAGGGGAGTGTAAGAAAAAATCAGCAAAGGGAACAAAAAAGGGCAAGAATAAAGTTGGGAACTTCTGAAAATACCATACAACATTTCCTAATTTAAAAAATATACATTCTCCCTCAAGGCTGTGAATTAGGCTCGTTCAAATGTTAGGGATCTATATTAAAGCCAGAGTGTTTTTTCACCCCCAGCCTCATACCCTTTTTTACCAGAAATGCAGACCGAAAGAGGGAGGCTAATCATCAAATTCACGCTTTCATTTTTTCTACTGTCATGGCTCATGCCGCTTTGATGGAGGGGCAAAAACGTTTAGTTGCTTCATTCTGCCTTTCCACCACTAAAGAAACAGTGACTTACTTCAGTCACATGCTTATTTGGGACTATTTTGTCCAGCAATACAAATTGAGTGAGAAGTCTAGGCAATGATCTAGTTCATTAATTTGAATTAAGCAGTCTGTTCATTATAAGTGAGAATAATTTGTTAGCACTGGTAGTGACTGAAAAAGCAGAAGGGATAACCATTTTTAAAGAATTAACACTGATAATGGACTATAAACCATCTTTATTTGAAATCCTCTGAAAGCTAGCAAATATGGCCACATGATTTTAAGTTTCTCAGATTAAAAATACCCTTTTAGCTGCTGGGGTTTTGCAGGACTTACCCACGTTGAAAAGTTCAGGCAGTGTAACAGATGATTTTGTAAACACCAAGGAAAATTTGAATGGGGGACATGCTACAGGAAATGCCACAAGTTTTGAATGTCTAAAATACAGATCTAATGTGTAGTTAGCTCTGTAAGCGTTTCTTCCTTACAACTTTACAAGACCAAACTGTATCCTCACCTCTACTCACAAAATGCAGTCCTATAAACAAACGTTCCTCCTTTCTAATTTTTTTCCCTTCACTACTAACCTCAGTGTAGTGACCACCTGTTGCTTATGTCAAAATTACAAATAGCCACTTGGTTTTCTGTTTAAAAATAGCAGACTATTTACATTCCTTTGTATTCATTCTCCTCCCCTCTTTCTTCCCCTCCCTCATCTGCAGTTTCTGAAGTGAGCAAATCCATTTTAGAAACTCAAAAAAGACATTGCATTTATTTGTGGGACAAAATAGACAGCCTAGAAATGGCACATATTGATTGTTGAAGGTTGTCTAACAGTGTAGTCAGTTCAGTTGACTCTGGCAGATGAATGTCAAGGCTGCTACTCTCATTCCCTCCATCCCAAAGACCTGGAGACGTACAGAAAAAGAGACTGAAGAGAGGGAAGTTTTGAAATGTGTTATAACTCTTAGCCTAGCTTGTAGAAATGCTAGCTTATTTAAAGAAAAATTGTCCCAAGTGTTCATCCTCATGAAAAGGGTTAAATTCAGTCATATGTCCACCAAACATTCATTGAGTGCCGTCTATATCTATATAGATATGGACATATAGGTATATACACATACATGTATACATATATGTAGATATATATATAAAACTTTTATTCATAAAAGTTCCATCATGGCAGAGATTCTGTCTCACTGTGGCCAAAGCCAAACTTACTATCCTGTTGTTCTTTTTTTCTAATATCTTATTCTGGGTCCTCCACCCTGGAGAGTTGCACTGCCATTTTCCAAGTCTGCTAAGCCACAGCCAAACCATATTTGACTCTTCTGCCTTGTTCACCTAGCTACAATTACTTGATTGTAGCAGTTTAGACAGCTGCTTCTAGTAGACCTACTTACAGTCCTCTGCTATTTTAAATCTAATGGGCATCACACCCATTCATAACTTTAAAAACAACTCTTATATGTAGACTATGGAACTCACTCATTCTATTTCATCCTTTATACTGTCTCCCAAATTCTGTTGCTTAAGCACAGCTCTCATCATTTTATTTCTAGTTGTCAGGGATTTTTCCAAGCTACCCAGGATCCTCCATAACCTAGTCTCACCCATTTTTTTTATAAAGCCCTTTCCCACTACAATATCCCCAGAGGATTCTGGGCACCAGCCAGATTAAACTGATTGAACTTCCAGGTTCTTTAGTCTTCTGTGCTTACTCTTCTGTTCCCTTAGCTAGAATGCACTACTTCTTATCTGTTTGGTTGAGGCCCTCCTTATGCTTAAGGTTTAGCATAAATGCCACCTCCTAAAAAATATTACCAATCTCCAATGTATGGCTCAGTTGGTCATTCCTCTGTGTCTCCATAGGAGTTTGCTTTAGCTGTTCTACAAAGCTGACATTCTGTACAACACTTTACATTCAGCTTGGGCCCATATTTATTACATACCCATGTTTCTCTTCGTTTTGGGACTATAAGCTGTTAAAGTTTTTGTTAATTGGTTGCTGGAGAGGGATAATTATAATGATAAATAATAACCTTAATTTAGAATAAACATGGTGGGCTTTGAGCTTGGAGGCATGTGAAGTTTATTTTTGCACTTCTCTCTGTTCTAGGGACCTCCAGGAACTTGACGATAGCACCCAGCTCCCTCTGCTTTGCCACTTCTCAGAGACAGCTGAAGGCCTCACCACCATTAGGGCATTTAGGTGAGTACCTATGTTTCCATTTTGTTAAGTAGGCAATTACATCATCACAAATATTTATTTATAAATAACTGACAACTGTTACCATTTTTTGGATGTCCACCATGTATGCATGACAGTGTCTTAAATTAGAAGAAAATGAGGCAATAAGTGATCAGAGATAGTGTTTAATCATCTGAAATTTTAACTAGGATAAAGAAAGAATGAAATACCGCATTGGAAAGATAACTAGCTGTATGATTTAGATGAGGCTTTTAAATTCCCTAGTTTCAGTGCCCTCATTTGTGAAGTAGGGAAGTCAGTTTCATTTCTTAGGATCACTGAACTAACTGATATAATGCATGTGACCAGTGATAAGCAAAGAAGCACCCAACAAATAAGTTAAAATGCATTTATTAATAATAATAAAATAACTATCATATTAGAATTATTTTAGGACTTAATTAATCAGTTTTTAATGTTGTGAAACAGAGTAATAACCCAAGCTTTTGATAAAGAGTGTTTACTCAACAGTCAAAAAATAAAAAACCTTTCCTCGTTTTCCCTGTTTCAGTAAATCAGAAAAGTGGCATCACTGAATATTTTATTTAATCTGAAAAATTGACATCTCAAAGTATTATATCTTTCTGCAACCCTAAATGCAAATGGATATTGATTTCAGAGATTTTTCTAACCTGAGAAATTATATTTGTGTAATTTATATAAATTATGTATATTTATATAATTTCTTCTATTTTTTATAAGTATTCATATATTTATATATTATGTATATTTATATATTATGTAACATATATTTATATGTTATATAAGTATTCATATATTCATATATTTATATTTATGAATTCATAGATTTATGTGTGTGTGTGTGTGTGTGTGTATCTGCACAGAATTCCCACATAATTCTACATAGGTTTCATCATGAAGCATCCATATTGCCTGTAGTTGTGTGTCTTCCCATCAGAGTGTGCAGACTTTTACTGGTGATGGCAAAACTATTTCTTGACATTGAATATGGATATTAACAAAAAATTTATATTCTAATAGTAGCCGTCAATGACCAAGTGTACTCATAAGTACACTGTATTAAAGGTTACATTTTTCACCAGACAAGCCCTTTTGAGTTATTTTTTTGAGTGTCAAAGTACGTGCTAAGTACTGCCCTTACTGTGGTTATATAAAGACTACAGAGACTTGGCCTTTTGCTGCCACCCCAGATAAATGCCGTAAAGAGAAAGGGTGGGGTGGCATGGGGGCGGGGACAGGCCATCACTGGATTCAGGCAACCTGATGGGATCAGCTTTTTGCTGGATGTGGATCAGCAAGAAGGTGGTGGGTTGAGTATATAACAGCCTCTGTTTTCTCCCTGAAGAATAAGGTGAGATTTTTTCTGAGAGTGAGGAGGGCTAGAATCAGGTAAATCATCTTGAAGTTTAGAATGAAAGAGAAACTTAACCAGGAGTCATTGTTTAGATTTTTCATTTACCTTCTTCAGTAGATACATGAACAGAATTTAGCATGACTATTCCTAATTTTACATCAGCAAAATTCCAGGTAGCTGTTAGAAGAACACAATACAGTGCCTGTTAACCTTCAGGCCTTGAATTATGATTGGAAAGAACAAAAGATGTCCCAACTTTTATGTAAAAGTACCTGCACCATACTAGTCCAGATTTAGATCTTCCCAGGTTCATTTTTTTAAAGTAAATATTAAATACCGCAGATATCAGCATTGTTAAACCAAAGGAAGTTTTAAAATGTGGGGATGGTCCTGTCACCATGAGTACAACTCTGATAGAATCTTTAAGTTCAGTACTTGTGGTGAAGAATCAAACACATTCTTTTCCGTCCATTTCTTCCCTTTTTTCAAGCTACCCAGTGTCCCGAGAGCCCTCAGCTCTTTTGGAAAGTTAGTATTTGCTGATTAGACTGCCTCTCCTCCCCTGCCTTCAGAGTTCGTGGTGTACTCATGCGCAGCAGTCAACTCCCTCAAGAAGTTTTACCACGAAAGTATCACAGTTAAATTAGACTGAGATTTCAGTGACCTTTCCTATTATTTTTTGTCTGACAGAATAAAGGTCTAAGAATGTTCAGAAGATGAGCTGGATGTGGATGAAAAGATACAGAGTGTGTCAAAGTTTCCATTAGGAAAACAGAAGGTTTCTTGCCAAATAGAAACACACAGAAAGAATGTTCATTGCATTTCCACCCCTCCCCTCTCACTGCTGCTTCAGACTGTTGCCAACTCCATTTACAAACTCTTGAAGAGTGTATCTGAAACAATATCCCTAAACTAAAGAAGGAGTAAGAAGAGTCCCAGATGAAACACTTTCTCAGAATTAAGTGTTTAATGTTCATCTCCAACGTAGTCCACTGGCCTTAGTCTTACTGGCCACATTTCCAGTCTATCCATCACCATTCCTGTAAGGAAAGGACCTTTCCTCAAGCCCTGAAAATGTTGTTTTCTTATTTCTGTGCCTTTTCTCATGTTGCTCCCCCTGCTTCCAATGCTTTGTCCTCCCTTGTTCACCTGAAAAATACAACTCATCCCTCGAAACTTCACTCAGACAGCCCTCCCAGTCCTCCGTGAAACCTTGCTTGCTTCTTCTCCTCTCCCACCCTCCACCCCAGTCCCCGCCATCCCAATCCTCTGGACCGTGGGAATCATCCCCTTCTTTTATGTTCATGTAGCGTTTTGTACGTAGGGCCCTTCTAACAACCTCCAGGTTGTCTTGTCCTTGCTTATTAATGCCTCATTTACCTCCCTCACAAAGAGTGTGCTCCTCAAGGACAGAAGTCAGAAGTTATGTGAGCTGGCTTGTTCATATGTATATTCTGATGTGTCACTTATAGTTGGTGCTCACCAAATGTTTCTGAACAAATGAGTGAAAATCTCCCTACCTCTGCAAGTTCAGGAAGAATGGCCCTTATATGGATATCTCTCTTTACAGTTCATATTCACTATCTCAGTCAATCTTATGATCCTGTGAACCACCCTACCTTTTGAGTATCCATTCTATTCATCTCTAGAGTGGTAATCATGAGGGTAGGCACGTTCCTGGGATGGCTCAGGCCTGCCTCGGTGTGTTGCCGCTCAGCACAGGTCCTCTGTGCCTGGCATTTGGGTCAAGACTGCATAACTCAAAGTGAGGTAATTATTTGGCTCTGACTGCAGAATCCTTTGATTGTTTTAGATCAGATGTTACTGTCTGACTCAATTATCTGATTTATCTGGTTTGGCACGTTGGAGTGGTCAGGTCAATTGGATAGATATCAAGTATCTGCTTTATATTGGCCTGTATGGATGATTTCATGGGCCAAGTGAACGCCCCACCCAGATTCTTCAGTCTTCGGCATAGGAGTGGTTTGTTATCAAGTTTTACAAATTGATTTGAACATCTGGGGGGACCTGGGGCAGGCAATCTTTTATCAACCAAGAATCACAGGCAAACTGTCAGATGAAGTTTGGCTCTTCCTCGCAAACATGATGCATAGACAGGAGGTCGCTGTAAGACCAGCTATGGTGGCAGAGAGTGAATGAACCACATTTTGATTTGGCATTTCCTCCAACCTTCAATGTGTCACTTAGAGTTGGCTCTTGCTAAATGTTTCTGAATGGATTAAACCAGTTTGTTTGATTATATCATCCATCTTTCCATTGTTTCTGTTATTCAGGGAAAATATTTTAAAAATGGAAAGAGTCTATTTTTGTGATTTAACAAAGATTCATCACCAGGTAGCTCAAGTTGCTGTGAGAGTAGCTCATATGTTCAAATGGATACAATTTTTAGTAGCTGTTTCCTTTATAACAAAAGTTACACAGGATTGAGTCTGATCATGTTAGTCACCAGGAATGACCTTGATTTGGTCAAGGATTAATCTCTAAACTGTACATGTCATAACATCCTATAAGTACACAGGGTACAGGTTCTTCCTATGCAATGGCCATCCTTACAAATAGTTTAGAACTTTGAGGCATAGGTATCTTACTTAAACTGCATATTTCCTCTGAGAACATCAGACATCTCCAAGACCCCATTTGTTTTTCGTGTCATCCCAGTTTCCTTTTTTGGTTCCCTCAAACACCAGGCAAAAGGAGAAATTTAAAATTATGTATTTGCTTGATACGAATGCATAGATTCCCATCTTCCCCAGTTCTCATCCAGCACCTCCCACCCTGACTCTAACTGTGCTATTTGGAAAAGTAAAATAAGTGCAATAAAAAGAAGGTTGGGATTTTTGCATTTTTGTACAACTTATTTTGGTTTGTGTAAAACCCTTGCAACATAGGCCATACCTTGTTTCCATGGCTACAATTATTATGTGGAAATTTATGAAATGATCACTAATAGGACTTGGTCATTAGAAAGATTCCTTTTCATAGCAGGGGTCTGAGAAATGAAGGAAACACTGGACCACACAGTCTCTACCGAGAATATCACAGAGCAGTAGCAGCTGGCCTTTATTTTGAAATAGGAGTCATTCCCTAGTCATCTCATCCCATTAGTTTGTCACTCAGTTGAGTAAATAGTGTAGTAGTAAGTGTGACTATATTTTTTCTGTTTTCTATTACTTCTCCTGTTTTGTGGTTAACATGAGAATATTTTTGTTTTCTGCAGGCACGAAACCAGATTTAAGCAACGTATGCTGGAACTGACGGACACAAACAACATTGCCTACTTATTTCTCTCAGCTGCCAACAGATGGCTAGAGGTCAGAACGGTACGTTCATTTCATGATTTCGAAATGGAAACCAAACAGAAAAGAGCCCTGATACAAAGAGGGAGGCAGTTGTAAAAATTAGTCTGCCACTGAGATTCAGCACTAACTTTGCATTTTCTGGACTTTAAAAATAGATCAGGTTTGTTTATGTTGCAGATGAAATTTGTCACAATGTTTTAGCTAATGGCAAGACAAATAGCCCCAGAAGCAAAATTTCATCCTGTGTTCATTAGTCTTTAGATTACATAAGTTAATGGAATGGCAAATATTTGTATAACTTCAATTTTTTTTCCAAAAGAGCAAGTTTGACAAGTGAACAGATGTACTCATTTCCTTCACTCAGCTTGACAGGCCTGGAAGAGATGGCACCTTTTTATGTTTTAAATCAGTGGAGGATCATGTTAACACAAAATGTAAAAAACTCTAATTAATCATCTATTGCTTCCGTCTGCCATATGAAGTGGGAGAACAGGCACAAGCATTGGCATTTACAGACTTGGTCTGGCAAGTTAATTAATTTTATTTGAGTTCTAGTTCCTCATCTATAAAATAGGAATAATAATATGTACCTCATGGGGATATTAGGATTAAAATAGTAATAGAAATCCCCTAGTTCACTGAGTAGCAAATGCGCTCAACAAATGTCTTGGAAAGGATTGGAGGGATGAATGAATGAAAATAGTACCTGTCCTGAAAGTGATTCATAAGCCAGCCAACAGGAGTATGGAGTAGGAAATAGATGAGACTCAAGTTTCAGAAGGGAAGGAAATGTACAGTTGATACTAGAACAGCATGTCTTTGAACTGCATGGGTGGATTTTTTTCAATAAATACTATAAGTGTATTTTCTTATGATTTTTAAATTGCATTTTATTTTATTTAGCTTACTTTACTGTAAGAACACAGTATATACTACATGTACAAAATATGTGTCAACTGACTTCATGTTATTTGTAAGGCTCCTTCCAGTCAACAGTAGATTATTAGTAGTGAAGTTTCGGGGGAGTCAAAAGTTACACATATTTTTCAACTCTGCAGAGGAGGGTTGGCACCCCTAACCCCTGTGATGTGCAGGGGTCAACCATAGTTTGCAAACTGGTCTGTGTATCTGAAGTTCAAATAAGCTATTTTGGTGGTAATGATTTGTCTATAATCTTTTTAAAAAATAATTATCTATTAGTTTGTAAAAAGGAAAAGGAGGTTTATCTGCATTATTGTAAGAATCTCATTTCCACCTGCTGGTTAAGCAGCCCTATCACATGCAGGCTTTTTTTAAAGCTCAACAGACAAATGGTAAATGGTAAAGGGAATTTGATAAAGTTGAAATGAAGGAGCCAAAGTTAAAATCTGAGCTGTTGATGGATGAATACAGACTGATATGGAATCTTGGATCCCTCTGTTAAATTTAGTTTTCATGATTTCTCACTAGTTTACAGAGATTCTCTACCACTGTATTAGTCATTATGTGGAAACAATTCAGAACATAATGCTATTATATTTCTCAAATTTTAGATTGAAGCATTTGTTGTTGATAAGAAGTTCCTTTCAGGTAGCTGTGGGGTTGGGCAAATGTCTTCTGAATTCCCTGAAGATAACATAGAGGTAGATGAAGTGCTCCTTAGGATTTATAACAAAACCAAAACATTATTTCTAGATCCTGGCCAGATCCTACATCTTTGCTTAAAACTTCTGTTTATTTGTTTAAATCTATTTTCTCTAAGAAAGAAATCATATCTGAATAATAGAATTAATGATGAAATAGCTTAATGAAAGATCTCAAATTCATAAGGGAAATGTGTAAGTAGCTACCTTTATATGTAATTTCCCTAAACTTGGAGATCAAGTATGTTTTTAGGGGGCAAGTGTGTTTGCTTTGGACTAGAGGTGAGTGTCTGACTTGAGTCCTGTTTCTGCTCTTCAGCACTTCCTACTGTCAGGTTAATGGACAAGCGTTTAACAAGGATCTTCAAGCAAACCATATGTTCTGCTCTCATAGCCAGAATGCAGAATATTACGGCCTTCAGGCTGCCAAGAAAGGAAAGGTCAGGAAAAGTTAGAACGACAGCCAGATTCAGAATGAGTTAGTTTAGTTTGACTTACAACCCACAACTCTAACCCCCACAGGAAAAAGCAGTCAGACCTACCTGAATGTGAAAGAATTGTAGTCCCACTAGTAGAAACCTAAAGAAAATATTGATATTTCAACAAGAAGAGCACAATCTGTCATTCATTCTGTTACTGGTATTATGGTTTTTCTTTGTTTTCTATATATTATACTCTTTTCAAGATTTGCTGGCTAGTTTCATTACCAGAACTCTCCTTTAAACTAATACCAAAAAAAAAAAAGCTTTGCTTCTATTTCTGATGAATAAAGGTGAATTTTGGTAAGAAACTTGTTGATTTGTTGCAAAGTTTTGGGCATATCTGCTGACAGAAATCAAGGTCCCAAGTCCTTTGTGTATCACTTGTCCACTCCCACATTGTATTTGTGTGTCAGTAAGTTCATGCAGGTAAGAGCACGGGCACACACATGCACAAACCTCCAGGGCACCCGAGATACAACTTAAAGCCACTCAGACTCTCTCTCTTTCTCTTCTGCTGAGTGCATTGAGAGTTTTCAATAGAACGAGAATAATTGGAATATTAGAATATTAAAATATTTACTTGGATATAAATCCTATAATCCAGGAACATATGCCATCACAGGAGTGCTGAATCAGTAGGTGAGTCCTGTTAGGAAAGAACCTTTCTCCCAAGTACACATGCATAAATTATCTCATTACGACTTTGTGGTTCCTGTGGACATGGTCATATCACTGGAGATACAATTTCAGTTTGAAATAAATGAATCTTGTGTCAGAAATATGAATGCTGAGATACAGGACCTTAGAGACTCGGGTGTGAACTGCTTTCTGACCCCCACAGCTGGGCATAGTCTGCCTTGTAAGTTGTTGTTTTAAAAAAATAAATAATGAAAACTTTTATTTGGCCCCATGAATCTGCATTGATCTTATCCACAATATTAGCACAGCCCCATTTGCCAGTACATTAACAAAAATATCTGCTTATAGCAAATATTCTTGGAGTTGCCAGAGCACAACTAAAATGGCACGAGGAGCGCAGAGGCATTGGACATACATCAGAAGAGGCAGGGCTTTCTGACACGGATCTGGGGATTGCACCAACTCTAACTCATAGACTCATCACCTTAATGAAGGAAAGGAGAAAACTTATTATAGCTTTCTGTGGCTGTTTTTCTCTTCATTCCCAATTCTAACTTTCCAGAGCAATACCACTGAGTTCAATGGACAGAAAAATCTCAAGGAGAAGAGAGGAAGGGAAAGCAGAGTAAAGATACCTCTTGTTGAATTTAGGAAGACCCCAGAAACCCATCTAATTTTCATTTATGATCTAATTTATTTATTTATTTTTAACACATGGCTTTCACTTCTGTTCCGGCCCTGTTAAGTAAGAGTAAGGACAGTCACAAGCTATCCCCTTTCTCTGGATACATAGTTTTCCCTATGGAATATTTAGCCCTTCCCACCATGTTTATTTTGAATTGGGGAAAAAAAATAAAGGTCAAAACACATTCAAATCAAAACCGCACAAGAGTGAGGAGAATAAAATAATTTGGCGTGTTGGAAAGTAGCTAGACTGTGACCACCCAGGTTGCTCTGGCAACAGACAGGAGTGTTTTTCCTCTGGGTGCCAAGTGAAGTGGGTCCCAGTTGTGTGTAGTGTGTCACTACGTCCTAACCTTTAAATGCTGCTTACGTTCTTTTCTTCGGCACAGAGTTTTCTCTTCATCCCTCTGCACTAAACAGTTCCAGTTCTTTGGCATTGGTGTTTCCATTTGCAAAAATTGTGTAACTCTATCTAATGGCTGTCTTTCCAAGGCTTTGTCTTGCTGTGTGGCGAGAGGATAAAAGAAAATTCACATCAGGAAGCCAAAAACAAAGTCTTCGGAATCAACAGGCTAAAGTGAAATAGTCTTCAGGGTGAGCTTGCACAAGTCTAGCACAAGAGTTTGTTTTGTGAAACAGCATACAGCCTTCTCCTGTGCTCCTAAGTCCGTGATAAACAGGTGTGCCCAGATGCTGTAATTGTGAGGACCTAATGTAGTCTTCCAGGCACTCAGCAGTAGCAGAGTCTTCTGAGGGCTATGTGAAGGAAAGAGACTATGTTGCTGTTAAGTATCTACAAGTCTGTTCTACCCGATAAAATGTTCTGTGAGAGGGCTCTCACTGACAGTGGGTGATTCACATATGGAGCAACTTCTATTTTCTAAATTGAATCTCATTCTCTCATTCTATTGTACTGTTTTGAGCACAGGTGTCTTTTTCCCCCCCATTGAATTGATTGGTTAGGATGTGAAAAGCCTTAGCAGTAGAATAAATGTTGCTAGTGATCCCTAAGTATTTGCTCTCCTGTGTGTGAGTTTTTCAGACCATCTGCTTCCCTTTTTTAAATCTATTGCCTTTAAGCCATTTTACTGTGGAAATATTTATGAAGAAAGGAAAGGAGGTATAATTATAGGGTCATTTGGTAATTCATTAAACTTGGTAAGTTTAATGTTAAAGAAGTGGAAAATGGAAAGTTAATGAAAGCTCTTACATTGTCTATCAATTTCACACTTTTATACTCCTGTAGTGTTTGAAGAGAAGTGATTGGAATTTAATGATTTTGCTGTAAAGTGTTTTGATAAATATTGTGCATGAAAGAGCTTCCTCTGTTATGCAGATCAAGGTGAAATTCTTATCAAATGCCTCCAAAAAATTTCCATTGGCTTAGAAAAAAATTTTTCGAGCAGCGGTAATAATTCAGAAGTGAACAGAAAAGTATCTAGTTGGTATAACTAAAAGACAACATGAACAACACTTTCTAAAAAAAAAGACAAAGAAGGTTTTTGCTAAGTAAAATAACTCTGGTACAGATATTAAACTACAGATTTATTGGGGTTTTTTAAATATATTTTATTGATTATGCTATTACAGTTGT